CGGTGCGAGGGGGAATCCGGGTGACGTGTCAATGTTTACGACCCCATGCCTGCGTGTGCTCTCTGGTCATCGTCCGGGTTAGGATTTTTCTTTTTGTGTTTCTTTTTTCTCTTCTTTGGTACATTTTTCCTTGCATCTTTTATTTATGAGAAGTCTCATAATTGGTAGTACAGCAGCAAGCACACATAGTACTCTCACTTCATACTGCATAATTTTCTCTTTATATAAACACAAAACGGTGACTAATACATTTGTAGATGGGTGAAAAATCTTACTCCACGAGTATTTTAACCTGTACACGTCATTTATCGAAAAGTCTAAGTTTTATTTTCTAGGGTTTTTTTCTCAAATATATTTATAGTTTTTATGTGCTAAATTAAATTGTTGATCGTAGTCCAAGCAGTCATCTTCTTAATACGTATAACGTATTGGTGTATATGATTTTCTTTTGTTTTGTTAGATGAGTTAATTTTTCATTAGTTTTGGTGACAAAATAAATACAGCTTAGACTTTAGATGGAGGAAGTATTATATACTCACTCCATAAAATACAAGCATTTCTCACTATGTAACTATAAAATGGAGAGAGTAGTTATTGTTGTGTATCCACACAACCAAGCCAAGCTGTTTTTTTTAAAAAAATCTAGGCCAATAATTTGTGTATATATACATGTATGAATGAAAAAATGTGATGCTGTTCGATATGTATATATCCAATGCTGCCAGACCTAGGTGGAGATGCACAAATGTGTAAACTTCCCTTTCTTAAATTAGCTAGGTTTTAATCGCTGAAGCTCGATCGATGCAAGCTCTACTCTAATGTTAAGTTTCCCAAATTGATGTGCAAGAAGGATTGTTAATTAATTCTTGATCGAGAAATTGGAGAGTTTCTAGACTTAGCTTGCTAGCCTACAACGCAAAACGATTATAGTTATTAGCATCAAAATTAAATGAGGATAACTGAGCTTGGCTAGAGATAAGAGCTTTTCCTTTATCTAAAATTTGAGTCACTGAGGGTTTAAAAAAAAACAGAGAGAGAGAGTCGTTGAGATTGCAGGACTTTTTCCCCTCAATCTTGCAAAAATTCTTCAGCTCTACACTACAGATTTACAACAACAAAACACACAGGATACTATTTTCTAAATAAAAGTTGAGTCAATTTAGTGTAATTAACACAATTCAAAGTATAAACAAAATTAATACTATATTTTTTTCTGAGAACTTAGTACAGATCGATCTTTCTTTCAAAGAACTTGGCAGGAAACTATATGCGTGTTTGTAAATATAAGGGGAAAAACATGCCAAATTAATCCTGCTGGTGGTGCACAACGAAAGTCACATCACTAGCACAATACAACGATAAATTTTGCATTACCAATATGTCATCAAATGCACATATGTTTAATACCCATCTCTGTATTGCGATGAAATTGACAGGGGGCAACTACAAGTGATCAGTACAGAAGAAGGTCCAGTAGCAAGATAATAAAACGATAAAATGGAATCGGTCGAACAAATTCTATGCGTGGAAAGGGTGAAGAAAAGGCACAATAATATGGGAGAAGCTTCATTATATGTGCTGGGAGTGGAAAAGGGAAATTAAGAGATGAGATTTTTGTGGCTGAAAACTTGAGAATGAATAAATATCAGCGAAAAGGGACGATGTTGGAATTGCGTATAAGAATGAAACGGTTTTTAAAGAAGAATTGTGCATCACACAAATTAAGAGATAATGTTGCAGCCATTTCCCCCCATGCAAGCCATTGTGTAGAGGGGGCCCATTTTGATTCCCTCCCCATTCTTGTTTGTACTATTAGCCGATAGCATCTAATGTTAACCATGCCTACAAAGCAAAAAGGTGGAGGTTAGCCTTTTGGATGTTCCAGTGCACATAATCTTCTGCACTATAACTCAATAAAAATAGCTAGAAAGGTGAGTTTAATTACCATGAGATAATAATTATGATAAAATATGAAATATGCAAGGTGATGTGTTGTATGTGTATGTATATATATAGTGTGCTTAATATGAATCTTGTATATATATGTAATGAGATATAAATAGACATCGAGTATGTCTTAACTGGTGGACTAGCTAGATCTCCATGTTTAAAGCAACAGCCAAGAATCAGTTACACATTCTAAAAAGACACAAGGTTTTTCTATGAAAAAATAATAGTAGACGTTAGAGAGGGAATGCATTCCGCAGCAGAGCCAAGGCCCGGCCACCATGGGCTGGTGCTCGGACTCCGCTGCATGCAGCCTTGCATTAGATACTAAAATATGGTGCTTAGCCATTAGCCTAGCTGCACATGCACCGTTAGATTAGCACTAATTATCTTGCTTAGTCATTAGCCAACAGCTCAATTTTGCGCTTCTGTCAACGATAAAAATGCTATATGTATTTGTAAGAATTTATGTTTACTTGCTAATTTGTTATCTATCATTAGGTTTGTCCAGGCTTAAAAATTTTCTAGATTCGCCACCGAATGCATTCAATTTAAAGAAATTGGGACACTTGAAAAATTATGTGCTAACAGAAAACTATTATTCCTTCCTGGTTAAACTTTAATTTGAAACTTTAAACATAACTAATTTTTAAAGGAATAGTTTGAAAACAAAAAAAATACAGTATGTGTATATTTGCCTAGAAAAACATTGCCATATATAATATAATACTCATACATAAAATTAATGGTCAATTTTTTAAGTGGATCAAATTTTTACCTAAACGTTAAATATTTATGATCCAATGGAGTAGTTTTTAGTTTTTTTCTATCTTTAATTACTTTTAATTAATGGTGTGGAAATTATTGTGATAAACAAAACTTGGTTCGGTTAAAGAAACATTGTAAACCAATATATAAGAATTTGACCTGCTGCCATGGATAAACTAGAAAAGGACTTTGTTTCGTTTTCATGTAGCCTTTGTTTGAAAATTAGAAAAGTCCGTTCCATCATTTTCAGGACAGAGCATATACCATTCACTCTTCCGTTGCCTTTTGAACTATTTTTTTTATTCTTTCATGGCAATTTCAACATCTAGCTACTGCAACAAGCTAAGTTGATGTAATCGAAGAATATGTTGCAAGAATGTTCTTGCATCATATAGATGTCTATGGATGTGATGTACGTACGAGTTGTGCTGTCAAAATTCAGCGATATGTACAGGTGCAAATTAAACTTGGATGAAAGGTGGATCATATATATCTAATCGTTTAATTGCTAACTGCAATTAGTGTTCAAGCTAGCTAGATCGATGTTTATGTGTCTTGTACTTCATTAAATTTTTGCCAAGTTTGATAGATATATTTGCGGCCGGTGATTAACAATAATGATATATTTACCAATAATGATATGTTTGTGACGCTCAAATTGGATTACTTTAACTAGTTTTTTTTCTTTATCAAATATCCTTTAGGCAAAACATATGTGCTTCTTTTTCTTCGTGAGGAATATGTACTTGATAATTGATGAATTAAGAATAACATGCATCATGTAGGGGAACACCATGTAGACCTATGAGACTGTGAAGAGTTTAAAATATATTAATACACTATCGGCGTCCCATTCTATATATTATGTGGCATCAATGATTTGCATCCAGTTTTCTGCAATAATTTTGTTGGAACTTTTTTTTTATTTCATGAAATTAATAAAACAATTATTATTTTTGGACAGATATTTTTAATTATTATTGATATAAGAGAGACAACGATAAACACCACTATGGCACGCTGTTTAGATCCCACCCCAAAATTTTCCATCCTGTCACATCGAACGTTTGAGCACCTGTATGAAGTATTAAATATAAGCTAAAAAAATAACTAATTGCACAAATTGCGACTAATTTGCGAGACAAATCTTTTAAGCCTAATTGCTTCATGATTTGACAATGTGGTGCTATAGTAAACATTTGCTAATGACAGATTAATTAAGCTTAATAAATTTATCTCACGGTTAATTTATTGATGGATTCTGTAATTAGTTTTTTTATTAGTGCCCGAACGTATCCCATGTAACACCCTATGTAATACCCGATGTGACACGCCAAAACTTTACACCCCTAGATCTAAACACCCCCTATATTTCCTATTCCTACCACACTGTCATATACTATGTAGATAGTTGCACGACCTTTGATTGTCAAATATCGATCTTTTCCATCGTAATTGGAACAAGTTAACATACAGTATATTGATTGATACAATTTGTACCAACTGATCTAGAAAATGATAGCATGGCCTTAAATATATCCTTAGTGCGTTGAAACTGAATATATTCCATGAGCTTTCAATCTCATCATTGTCAAAGCCGGCATCTGTCTCAAAAGAATGGGAAAAAAAGACCAACTGTGTACTAACACCAATACACAGAGAAATTGAGAAAACAGGTCAGCAGCTGGACCTTAATTGGCAGAAGATTTTAAGATGTGAAATTGACCAGTTAATATATGCATAAAACAAACCTTGTAACAACAAAAGTGCACATCACATATGAATACATGTCCAAGTGTCCAACAAGAGATCGATTGGACCTGCAGGAGAGTGAGAGGGAAAAGAGCAAGGAAAAGAACATAAGCAAAGGTAGCTAACACACATACGGATAAGTATTATTATTATTATAATTCTGACCTAGAGAGCTTTCAGAGGAAAAGAGAGAGAGAGAGAGAGAGAAAAAAAAACAGTAGTGACCTAGACTTGGACGTGGACATTTCCTAGTTCTTCTGACACAGGCACAATTGTGTCAGTCAGTTCAGGAGCTGGAGTGTGCAGTAGTCTCTGCAGCCTGAATCTATCTACACAAACACATTGCTATCCATCTCTCTGATATCTACCTCAATTCATGTGCCCTGTGGCTGTTGTGTGACCTACTCCTACACCCTTGTGAGCCGAATAGTACACCGGATATCCCTATCCAAACACCACACCTTTTCTTTCCAATCTCTGAACATGGATGGACTATCTCTCTTCTTCTCTCAGGACAGGGAGATCTTGGAAGGGGATGCAGTATCTGTAGTACACTGCTGCTCTGCAACACCAATGTCCTCATCCCCAACACTCCTGCAACTAATGATGAGGAGAAAAAAAAAGATCATGTCAGATAAGTACATGGATCAACAAATTCCTTCTACATCATTTTGAGTTTTGACTTGCTTCCTTTCTGCACTGTTTTTTTCCATATTCTGGAGGTAACTATTTGTTTTATTTTATTTTATTCAGTTATATATGTGTGTTAGAGTTTGTTAGCTAATGGAAGTATGAATTATTATGCCGCGCTTCTCAAATTTTGATTTTTTTTTGAAAACTTTCTATATCAGAATTTTGCTTAGATAACATTTTCTAAAGCAATCTATTGGTTTTATAATATTTAATTCATCCTATAATCAATTTTACATAAAACTATAATCTATCCAACCGTCCAGCTGTTAGAATGCGCCGTAGTCTAAAAACAGGTTGATTAGTATTTTCGTGAATGAAAATATCAATCAATTTGCAATATATTTTGTTGTACTAGTGAATGAATAAAATGCCAGAATAGACACAATAATTCCTACTAGTACTACACATTAGTACGTCCCATTTGATGGTCATGCTTGCTCAAACTAGTCACCCAAGGCCAAAATGGTACAAGTGAGTTCCACACCTAGAATGAATGAGCAGCTGATGAGAGAGAAAGATAGAGATAGAGAGAGAGAAGAGAAAAAATCTTGGTGCAGCTAGAGATCTAGAGAGAGGAAATAAAAAGGAAAGTGGGGGGAAAGGTGTGTGTGTGTGTGTGTGTGCTTGTGAGGATAATGGAAGAGTGGGAGGTGGGTGTCCCTCCTCCACTGCCCTTTTCATCTCTCATCTCTCATCTCTCTATATCTCTCACATCATCATCTCTCTCTCTACTTGTTTCTCTCTCTAAACTCTATTTCTTCTTTTTCTCTCTCTTAAAGACTTAACTAATTGGGTCTTCCTTCTCTATCATATATGCCTCATCATCTTTTCCCTTTCAGCTGGAGGGAGATCAGAGGAAAGATATATAGGCTGGCTGGCCGGCGTCTTCTGTAGAGAGCAAAAGGGAAAGGAACTTGCAGTTGCAGGTACTTAACACTGACATGCATGAGTGATCTCACTCACCCTCCCTTGCATGATACCTTGGTATATTTTTGTTGTCTTACATCACTCTCTTCCTCCTCCTCCTCCTTCTTCTTCTTCTTCTTCTTCTTCTTCTTCTTCTTTGCCTTCTTGTTCTTCTTCTTCTTCGGCTTCTTCTTCACCTTCGCCTTCGCCTTCTTCTTTCTTAATTCTAGGATCTTCTTCAATTCTGCTCTTCTGGTTCTTTGAGAGAGTGTGCATGTGTGAGAGAGAAATTGCTGATTAATTAGCTTCAGCAATTCTTGTGGTACATAGTATACATAGATAGAAAGAGAGAGAGAGAGAGAGAGAAAGCAAGCAAGCTGAATTGATGCTTGTGTGTGCTTGTGTTGACATCTGTATACACATGTGCACGGTTCTTTGTTAAATCACTTGATGAAGATGGGTACATCCCTTTTTCTTCTTTTTAATATATTTTTTTCTTGATACTGATGCCTAATTATTATTAGTATTACTTATCCTACATCACAACATCTCTCTCTCTCTTTCTCTCTTCTAGAGCTAGCTATACCATAGCTAGGGTAGTTGGTGATAAGAGTAGTTCTTCCTTGTAGCAACTTACTACCTTAATTACCTAGCCTTGCTCTTCTTTGATCTTCTTCCATCTCTCTCTTTTTTGCATGGATCTACTTTTATTTTTACCTCAAATTGTGAAATATGGTAATTATTTTCCTCTTTTTATATATGTTGTTAATTAATCAACCTGTTGGTTTCTTTTTGTTCTTGTGTTATTTGCAGGTAATTAAATTAAGAAGAGAGAAGCATATATATACATTTCCAGTAGAATTGTAGCTAGAGTGATCTATAGCTGCCGGCCGGCGAGGCGATCTCGATGGCGGCGTACTACCACGGCGGCGCCGGCACGGACATCCAGTCCGGCACCGACGGCCTGCAGACGCTGTACCTCATGAACCCGAGCTACGCCGGCTACGGCGACGCCGCCGCCGCCGCCGCCGCGCCCGGGGCGGCGGCCAACATGATGCTCCTGAACTCGGCGGTGACCTCCATGACGCCGGTGTCGTTCGGCCACCAGCCGTCGCCGTCGTCGTCGTCGGCGGCGCAGCACTTCGTCGGCATCCCTCTCCAGGCGCCGCCGGCTTCCGGGTACAACCTGTGGACCCCGGCGGCGGCCACCGGCGCGGGCGACATGTCGCCGCCGACGCCGCAGCACCAGCATCAGCAAGCTCACGGCGGTGGCGCGGCGGGTGTCAGTGCTGTCCTCAGCCTGTCGTCCCGCGAGGCGGCGCCGCCGGTGACGGTGGCGGCCGTGGTGGCCGCCGGCGACGAGGGGAAGTACCTGCAGGCGGTGGCGCAGGGCGCGGCGTCGCACGGGCAGATGGTGATGAGCTCCAAGTACCTCAAGGCGGCGCAGGAGCTGCTCGACGAGGTGGTGAGCGTCAGCAAGGGCGTGGACGACGTCAAGGCCGCCGCGGCGGCGAAGAGCCCGGCCTCGGTGAAGAAGAAGGAGGACTCGGAGGGCGTGTCCGGCGGCGGCACGGAGGATGGCGGCGGCGCCAAGAGCGGCGGCGCGCCGCCGCCGCCGGAGATGTCGACGGCGGAGCGGCAGGAGCTGCAGATGAAGAAAGGAAAGCTGATTAACATGCTTGATGAGGTCAGTAATTAATTAATTAATTAATTAATTAATTGAGCACTGTTAGTTTTTTTCTTTTTGTTTTTTGTGATTAGAAAAACGCAAGTATATTGCTTGTATTATAGATAAATCGATTACTATTGATTTTTCTTGTGTAGTTATAGGAACATATTTTTTGTGCAAATGCAACTTGTATTCTTTTGCTGTTTGGAGTTTGGGTTAATTGTTTTAATTTTCTGATAAAATAAATATTTCTTGTGAAAAGTTGATTTTTCTCTCTCTCTCAATCTGGCTTGAAGATATTGCTGATGCCTTTGTAATTTTCTTGCCCCTACTGTTATAGAAAGTGTTATTGAGAGGATGTGAGTCATTTGCTTTTCGGTTATCCTTGTTTTGTTGGTTCTTTTCTATGATTGATCAGCTAACACAGTTGTTGGAACAGTAGAGAGCTAGCCTTATTTTGCTGGACATTATTCCCAATCTGTTTTTCACTTTAATTAGTTTTCGTAAGTAAACATGTTTTACTACCTAGTACCAATTATCATCGGTCCTCAGGTTAACTATGTGATTAGTTAGTGCTTTTTTGTCTGATTGGTTCCTTAGCTAGATTCAAAAACTAGTTTTATTTTTAGGTGGGTGTTATTATCATCAAGTTAAAAGGGGCATATATACACATATAAATTAAAATATTCTATATATCTTATTATTAGACTGAAAAATACGGAATAAAGTGACAAGTAACAAGAATATGTGTACCGAAACTAACAAGTGACAAGTAGCAATCCTTTTTGCATTCCTATGATTGAATTTTCAGATAAGAATAGCATGTCCACATAAACTACAATTCTTTGGGTCGTTCTTTGTTCATGCCAGTACAAACAAGCTTTAATTAATTCCTAATAATAATGATGTTTGCGTGTGTGTCTTTTTGTTTACATTAGCTTTACATATTTGTACATAATATAATTCTCTGATTTTGGTACAAAGCAGCAGCTTTGATTAATCTAAGTTACAGTGGGGTGCAGTAAAAATGTACTCCCTCCATCCCCTAATACAAGGAATTTGATATTTTGCTTCCACTATTTGACCATTTGTCTTATTAAAAAAAAATTGGAGTTATTATTTTTTTACTTACTTATTATGCAAATTACTTTAAGCACAACTTTTCTTTTTTATATTTGCACAAATTTTTTTAATAAAACGAGTGGTCAAACAGTGCAAGAAAAATGTCAAAATCCTCTGTACTATGGGACGGAGGGAGTATAAAAACAGTTGCACCAAACTTCCTAAAAAAAACAGATGCAACCAAAGTAACAAGAATCAATCATATTGGTGCCTTAAACAATGAAAGATAGATTGTGTTCCTGACGATCCAAAATCGTTAATCTACCATTCAACCAACAAACTGCTGGACTAATAATTAATCATCAGCTAGCTGTTGTACAGTGAGTAGCTATCTACTCCAATTAATTAAGCACAATCAACTAATGAATCTCCATGGATGGGATGGGATGGGATGCAGGTGGAGCAGCGGTACAGGCAGTACCACCAGCAGATGCAGGTGGTGGTGGCGTCGTTCGAGGCGGTGGCGGGGGGCGGGTCGGCGAGGACGTACACGGCGCTGGCGCTGCGGACCATCTCGCGGCAGTTCCGGTGCCTGCGGGACGCGATCGCGGGGCAGGTGAGGGCGGCGAGCCGGGCGCTGGGGGAGGCCGTCGACGCCGACGGCGGATGCGGCCGCACGGTGGGGTCCAGGCTCCGGTACATCGACCACCAGCTCCGGCAGCAGCGCGCGCTGCAGCAGCTGGGCATGATGCAGAGCAGCGCGTGGCGCCCCCAGCGCGGCCTCCCCGAGCGCTCCGTCTCCATCCTCCGGGCTTGGCTCTTCGAACACTTCCTCCACCCGTATGTCCATATATTTATCCATCATTCTTCATCCATCTCTTCCGGCTCCCTCCGTTTCATATTATAAGTCGTTTTCATTGCATCTCATCCATCATTCTTCCATTTGCATTATACTCCCTAGCTCCATCCCTAAATGTTTGACGCCGTTGACTTTTTTAAACATGTTTGACCGTTCATCTTATTCAAAAAATTTAAGTAATTATTAATTATTTTCCTACTATTTCATTCATTGTTAAATATACTTTTATGTATACATATAGTTTTACATATTCCACAAAAGTTTTTGAATAAGACGAACGGTCAAACATGTTTAAAAAAGTCAACGGCGTCAAACATTTAGGGAATGAGGGAGTATATGTTGCATCTCATCTCTCTTCTAGTATTTCTATTTTTCTTCTTTTAAGATAATGGATTAAAACCCGAGCTCTTATCCGGTGGTGGAGCCAGAAAGATTTTTGAGCCCGGACAAACTTTAATACAATTAGTATTTGCTATAGAAATTTCATCATAATATTAAAATTTAATGGAGTTTTCTGATAAAAAAAAATTTAATGGAGTTTTTGCCCGCTCGCCTGGCCGAGCAGTGGCTCCGCCCCTGCTCTCATCAATCTCGACATATATATACTCCCTCTATTTCTTTTTGTTTGACGTTGGCATATATTATGGGATGGGGATAGGACATCCGTGCATGCGTGCATACAAAGCTACGCGATTGTTTGAGTTATGACGATTGATAAGCCATAGAAGAATGAATGAAGCAACGGAAAATAATTTAGGGGATAAAACTTTTATATATATGTGTTATTACCGATTTAAAATCAAGTGCTAGAAGATAGACTAGAAATAGAAACCCTAGATCAACCGTAGAATTAAGTTTTGGAATTTAAATTTTGGTTATATACTAGCTGATAAGTTAACGAGTAGATAATGAGAGACTAAATTATAATGAATTTTCGATCATATAATCTACTAAATAATTTAGAGTACCTTACGGTAAAAGTTGAGACAGTAATTGCTAAACGACCATAAGTATATTTGGAAACTGAGGTAACATATACTCTCTTTGTAGTAAAAAAAAAACAAAACAAAAAAAAAACAACCCCGAGAATGTATCTGAACAAGATGCATGTTCAGATACATCCACAAGATTGATTTTTTTTTTGGGTAGAGAGGGAGTATAGCACTATACTGTGCGAACCTTAGTTGCATCTGTGAAGAAGAAATAGGCAGAGCGTAGTACAATAGCTTGAGACAGTCATATATGCAAGTTGCAGTTGCAGCTAGCTGAACGTACGATCATGTCTGGCTGTACTTGTACTTGTAGTGTTTGTCACCATTGCTGGCTGGTCCTACACCCTAATTGCAGTACTCCATGGCCATGGATGATGCTACTGCATATATCATGGCCGGATCCATGCATGTCGCGTGCATGCATGATGCGTTTTTATTTGCAACTGCCTGAATCTGTACTACGTGTGATCGATGTGTGTCTGTCGGATCACTCACTCATCAGTGTCCGTGACGTCATGCAGATATCCCAAGGATTCGGACAAGATCATGCTCGCCAAGCAAACCGGCCTCACCAGGAGCCAGGTCAGAATTAAGATGGAGTTTAATTTTTTTACTGTGTTGATTGATTGGTTTTTGATTTTACTGCGTGTTCTTCTTGGTTGAATTGGGTGTTGAATTTTGTGAATTTTATTTTGGTTTGATTTCAGGTTTCGAACTGGTTCATCAATGCCAGGGTGAGGCTGTGGAAGCCGATGGTGGAGGAGATGTACCTGGAGGAGACCAAGGACCAGGACGGCGGCGGCGGCGCCGGCGCCGGCGACGAGGGGAGCAAGCCCGGTGGGAGCAAGGGCGGCGGCGCCGGCGTCAATGGCGGTGTGGTTGACAGTGCCGCGAAGATGGACAGCAAGGCGGCGCACATGGAGAGCGGCGGCGGCGTACATCCGTCGCTGCTCGAGCTCGCCGGTGACCACCAGGCGCAGGCGGGGTTCTACGACGACGACGACGAGGATGGCGGCGCCGCCGCCGCGCTGCAGCAGAAGCTGAAGAAGGCGAGGACGGAGGAGCAGCAGCAGGCGGCGTTCCACGTGTCCGACGTGGCCACGCTGCACGCGCATGCCGCGGCGGCGGCGGCGGCGAGGCACGACGAGGTGAGCCACCGGGAGCTCCTCATGAAGTTCATGGAGAGCGGCAGCGCCGGCGCCGGCGCCGGCGCCGCCGCGAGGGACCACCACCACGAACACCATGGCGGCGTCGGCTACTCGCTGTTCGCGCCGGCGCCGTACGGGCAGTTCGCCACGGAGCAGTTCGCGTTCGCCGGCCACGGCGGCGGTGGCGGCGGCGGCGGCGTGTCGCTCACGCTCGGCCTCCCGCACGGCGCCGAGCAGACGGCGTCGTTCCTCATGACCAGCAGCAACGGCAGCGACGGCGCCGGCCACGTCGCCGGCGGCGGCGGCTACGACATGAACATGCAGAGCACAAAGTCCTTCGCGGCTCAGCTCATGAGAGACTTCGTGGCCTAGAATCGAATATGATTATACATATTAAATTAGCGCAAAAATTCCAATCAATTAATCCATCAAATTAATTTAGGGCTTGTATAGAAATAAAATGGTAAAAAGGCCTAGACATGAATGCTTAAGCAGATTAAGCTTAATTGGGCTATAGGTTTTGGGAATGTAAAGATGGGAGCAATGTATATATTGGTATATATAGGGTAGCTTAATTAGTGAAAACCCAAACATCTTACAAGATTTATAGGGTATAGGAAGAGAGGGAGGGGGGTATACCATGATGTGCAGGGTTATATGGATTTGGATATTGGAAGTGTATGTGGCATTTTGGCCAATCACAGTAATTTCAGTATTGGTTTTGGGATATTGTAATCTAGATTCTTAGTATAATGTAGCACTAGCACTTTACTTCAATCCTCTTGCTCCATGAGAATGATGAAGTGGCATATATGTTTTTGTTAAGCTCAAAATCATTTGTGCTGCATGACATGGCAGAGGATTTTCAGATAATAACAGTGTGTAAGTGCTTCCTTTTGCTGATAATGCAGAATGTCAAGTCCGAGTAAAGGCAGGCAGTAATATTTTGGATAGTTTCAGAACCATCAGTGCCAAAGGAATATGATGAAAATAAATGTTTCAGACTTGTAAAGGCATTATCATGTAGCTTTCACAGGTCGTGGGCATTGTAGGCAATCACTGAATCACATGCTCACAGTTCTTGTTCTATGACCATCAGAACAAACTTATATAAAAGGGGCTTTACGATTCTCAATGTTAACAAACCAACACAAGAATTTGCATTCAGGATAACAGTAGAGAATCCACTAACATATGTCAAGACAGAATTAAGAACAAAAAAAGAAGACTAAGATTATACAGGCTAAACACTGCCTAATGAACATTCTCTCAATCAACAGACCCTCTTCTCTGATGCATCTCATGTTCAGCTCTAGACTTTGGGATCAGATGGCTCGCAGCAAAGATGGCACATTTTCACAGCAAGATGTCACATGAAAGCAGGTGGTGTGCACCAGCAAATTGGCAATGCTAGTCATGGCAGGAACGAAACCGAATTCCTGCTCTTAGCACTTGATGTCTTCCTGAAGATGATGATTGCTTCATCTACTTGTCAGTGGTCACTGGATTCGACCTGTCGCCGGGATAACAGGTTGGTGCACCAAGCCAAGAGGCATGTTGACATTGTTAGCATTTTCCGCTGCTCCACTGCTGTCGCAATTGGGTTCCAGTAAGCGCACAAGCGAGAGAAAGATCTCCATTCGGGTCACGTCCCTGTTTGCCTGCATGAAGATGATCATTCAGGTTTTGTTTGTTGGATGCAAAGCTGCAAGCAGCAAAGCTATAAGGCCAGAAGAGATGGCAGGTGATAGAAATCCATTCAGCTCGCAGTGCAAAAGAATATCAGATTACTTCAGATTTAGAAAACCAACAGAATATAATGCTAAAGATATTTGAATATATTACCTCAACAGTAAACCGTGCCCAAATTTTACTTTTACGGGCTTCCATTGCACCTCTTAGGATGGTCAATCCAAGTCCCTTGATGAAGTCAGCTATCTCCAAGAATATGCCTCTATCCTCACAAATCATCTGCAGGGATACCAATGTCAATGCATCTGAAGTTCTGAACCACAATTATATGCCAGTGCAAGTGTGCAACTGCACAAGAAACATACAATTGCAAAGAACAAGCAGATACAATTACCTCAACAAGCATTTGGCGAGGTCGGTCAAGATCCTCAACAATGATTGGACATGTCATAGACTGAGAGCCAACATCAAATGCCCAAGTTGCACCACCTTCAAAATAGTCTTTCCAAACAGGACCATTCTCATTGCCAAGAATCTGCTTGAATAATCAACAGTGTAAGTAGATTTTTCCAACTACAAGAATTATATAATTTTTGTGCCTTCATCTATGCTATAATCAACTGATAGAGCAAAAAAGATGTCCATACCTTGGATTCAGTAGAATCCTTGAGCTTGTCTGCATGCTTCGTCACACTTTGCAAGAAAAGCATGTGCTTAACTGTCTTCTCCAGCAAGGCATCGATGCTACACTGTTGAAAAAAATGCGATCACAATTAACAAGTCAACATTGCAAAAATTGCTCTTAAGTTCAAATATGCTATATAAAGTGCAAATTACCATGAAAGTTATTTAAAACCAGAAAGATTCATTAGAGGATACCTTAGCCCCATTAGGTACCATTTCTCGGAGCTCCTTTATACGATCCTGTATCAGCTGCCGATCCTTTGGCCTTGGTTTAGGACTCTCTCCTGGCCGAGACCTCTTTCGGTTCGCCTTGCTTGGTGTATCAAGACCTTTGCTGTTAGAAGCTGATGCACTTTCACATTTCATGCTCTGTCCACTCTCAATCCAAAGACGTATTTGAGATTTGTGCATTCCATTATTCTGGGATAGGCAACCATCCTCGGCGTTCTCAGCGAGACATGGTTGTTTAATAAACTGTGCAGACTCATTCTTGATTAGCACCGAGGGAACGCCAGAGGATCCACATTGCTTCATCTCTTTTGAACAAAGATAAGAAGTGGCAGGAATGTCTGTCAATGAAGTCTTGCAAGAAGCACTATCATCGGAACTCTGCTTACCAGCTGGATTAACATTTGAGATGACAGCATCTAATAGTTGGTCAGTATCCGTTAATGAGAAGATCCCAGAATAGAGCTCGTTGTCTCGTGAACTGAATAGAGGAGCGGAATCGGCATGAATAGAGGATTCAGGCACATCTCTATCTGAACTCTCTGGTTTTGCATCAGTCCAGGGGACCAAATCGGCACCAGCATTGTGGCACAAGTGATGAAACTGAGGACCAAGTATATCAAACAAGTCATTCTCTACACTCTGCTCCATAAACAGCGGAGAGGTTCTCTCAAGAGACAAGCCTGGTGGCTTGCATCCATCCATATTGTTCATTCTTTCTGTGCTCAAAGTAGCACTCAGATCATTTACTCCATTAATCTTTTGATCTTGGCAGATATGGTTTGACACACTTAATTGATTCTCTCGAGAAATACTTGTATTCAAACCATTAGAAATCTGAACATCAGATTCAGAAGATGGAGCTGAAGAAATTTGAAATGACCCTCTTTCAAGACTTCCCATTTTTGTTGAAAATTCAGAAGATTGGGGTACCTCACAAGACACTATAGGTTCTCTATGCAGCAACATTCCTGAAACAGAATGGCTTCTTCGGTCTAATACTTGACTTGTTGCACTGGTACATAAGTTAGCTCTGACAACTCTGGCACCTCCTGAGAGGAAATCAAAATTCCCGTGATCATTTATGACGTTGGATACCTCAGTTATTCCATGAGATATATTGATGTTTCGATCATGGATAAAGGGGTCAAGGCACACAGGCGGTTTCAACAGGACATTCTTCCGTAAATCTGCTGATGTTTCTGCACCGTCACCATATTCTAGCTGGCTAATGTTGTTCATCAACAGGGGCTGCTTTTGTACTGATCTCAAGCTCGATGAGATCAAATCTGAACTCATAGCAATACTCTGTGCATTACTTCCAAGTTGGCCATCACGATAAACTTGTTGTATGAACCTCACATCAGGCTTGGAATAGACAATGTGCTCTCTGACAGCTTGACCATTCAGTTGTGCAATCTTAAGCAAAGATCCATTCATGCATGCATTAAGTGAAGTGCTACCTGACACAGCCATGGTATCAGGATGGTTGTATTGTTCACAAGTCACGGGGAATTGACTGAAAAGTTTTGAGCGATTCTCTGTAGATTGAACATTTGAGGCACCATGTAAAGGGCGTGAACGACCCTGCTGGCTTGAACTATTCTTAACTGAAGAAGATACAGCCATACTTGATCGATTATTCAGCTGAGAGCATAATTTTTTTGCATGTGTCATGAAACTTTTGTTTTCCAGGACCTGCCAAAAAAGTAGTCTGCAATTAACTCAAATACATAGAGAATAGAACTGCTAACAAAGCCCCGGTGATAATCATAAAACTTGACCCCACCTTTTAAAGATCCTAATGTTTATCATACCACAGTAATTCCGTAAGTAGCATACATGATGTACATATGTTAGAAATATTAATCACACACTGATGCTGATTGAAATTCCACGCAAAACAGTACATTCTACTTACATCACTGAACAACATGGGTCTCACTTTGGTCACTTCTATGGTACCCCTCCACAAATTCTACTACCATGCTAACAGGTGTAACATGATAGAATCTGATCCATCAGATCAAAAGCAATGGCTGACCCACACCCACCTAATGGACTATAAACGATCTTACTTTGCTTTTCACTGGAAGAAATAACTGGAAGCTGCCATAACTTTGCACCAGCACATTCTGAATTTACAATAGCATGAAAAATAGGCTTTGAAATTATCTGGTGTAAATAAAAGATTGTATTTTGCAGTGCCATATAGCAAAATTTTAATTTTGCAAATGGCATGTACTCATTTGGCCATGCATAATTGTTCTTTAAGTTCCCACTATCATCCATAGAAGGACTGCAGGACTATCATTTTATCTGGATCCCTCAGTGATGATTTTTTTTTAACAGGGAACTGCCCACACTGACTCCAACAACTTGATGGACCACTGGTACCGCACAGTTTGTGCAATAACAGAACAATCACTGAACATGGAAAGCATATGAACTACTGTTTACTCTATAATTCATATGGCAGCAAGATTTCTATACACATGTTACATGCAGCATGTATTTTGAACTTGTATTCCATACCACGCCAGTAGATCCCAACTGTAGCACGCCACGTGGTAGAACAGGAATAATCGCTATAGTCTGCAGTGGGAAAATTAATGAGTTCCAGAAGCACCCAATCAGCAAATAATATGTCATTCACAAGGTTCATTTCCACTCACCTGAATGCCAACTCTGAACTGATAACTCATCTCAGCAGCAACCTACAACAGTAAAACTATTGCATAAGATCTCCAAAGCAGTATAATTAAAATACACAATCCAGGTGCAATGCAGATAAGTGAACCATGGAAGATCATTGTGCAAGTATATATCATTAAGGTCTACTCAAAGACAAAGCATCAGAGTAATGCTATCATATAAACCTGAACTCCATATAACAGGTCCAAGTTTGCTCATTTTCTACTAGTAGCATATCCCAACAACGAACATTTCTTCGATGAATGATAGACTAGCCCCAACAAATCAAAGAAGCTCACTAAATGCCAAAAGTCAAGAGGAAGGCTCCCACACTTTACATAAATTCCCTGCCTTCATGCTTTAAATGATGCCCCCCCCCCTCCCTCCTCCAAGCAAAATTGAACCAGACAAAACTGAAATTTGTTTGCATTTACACCGTTACAGAGGGAAAGCGAGGTGCTACCTCGGAGGGAATCCCGTGATCATTGGCAGTACCATGGATGATCCATTGATGGTTGCCCGTAAAAGCAGCACGGCCTACGGTCCTGCCAACCACAATCCATGAACGTGAGGAGCAACTAACCAAGAACAATGCCTCTTAACTACAAACAAAACAATCATGGAGCAACCAAGAAAACAGAATCTGACCAAATGAGAAGAAAAAAAAAGAGGCTTACCCTTCTCCTACGACATGAACCTGCGAGGCCATAACCTTGTTGACGAGGGAGCACATGGTCATGGTGTCAGCAGCAGCAGCACAGCCGACGTCGGTAGGCAGAGCTTCAGAAGGATCAGATCCGGCAGGGCATGATGCGTGGCCACAGTAGCCGTCCTCCCACACCAAATGACTGCACATGCCCCAGGAAGAAATGCACCACAAAAACAAAAAAATCATCACTAAAGAAGAACACCAAAATACTGAAGAAGAAGAAGAAGTATCATACTACATCAAGAAGCCAAATTCAGAATAATAATCCAAGATGAATCAACAAATTCGAACCTTTTCCTAACTACTCAAGCATACCACTCTGTTTTGCTTTTGCAACATTCTTTAGCTAGTATTAAAGACAAGAATTGTAGAATCCTAAATAATTTCTCATGGTAAAAAGGATTCATAAAATTTTCTCCATGAAGTTTCTGTCACAACTGAACAAAACCAGGGGATGAAAAAGAAACAGAACTTTCAGAAAATAAACAGCAAAAAAAGAAGGAAACATTTCAGGGACAACGGAAACGAGATGAGAGGACGAAGTAAAAAGAAAAAAGTTATTGAGAATTTTTTTCGAGAAGGATGGATGTGGAGGAGGAGGATGCTTACACGGGGTCGGCGGCGCCGATGGCCTTCCAGAAGACGGCGTACGACCACCCGACCTCCTCGCACAGCCGCCGCAGCGCATCCCCGACGGCCATCCCCGCCCCGCCTCGCCGCCGCTACAAACCCTGGCTCCGGCGACCCCGCCCGCCGCGCACGCAGACGAAGCACACCACCACCAGGCGAGGCGAGCACCGCAGACGAAGCGCTCTAGGCGGTTTCGCCTCCCCCCCGCCACGCGCTCTAGGCGCCGCGGCAGCTGGCGCGGCCGGCCTGCTTCGCGCGGAGACCACCGCCCCTCCTCGCCGGCGCGCCACCTCCCCCCCTCGCCGCCGCCGCCGCACGGGCAGCCATCACGCCTCCACGACGACGGGTGCGCGGGAGGTCGGCCGGCCCTGCACTACTGCAGCCGTCGTCACTGAACAAGCAAGCCGCCACTGAACGACGACGACGACAACTAGCTCTCGCCGGTAGACGCAGAAGCGTGCGGCGGCGGCGCGGCGAGCTTAGGTGAGCTGAGATCGCCGGGCTTTGTCGCTAGCTTGGTGGTGTTGGGGTTGTGAAGAGTGTGATATTGCTGGTGTTGTTTGTTGGAAGGAAGTTTGCTTTTCTTGGTTTACATGTCTTTATTAATTTGGCTTCTCTTTTCTTTATTTCACTCTCTGCCTTTGCAGCTCCCGAGACAGCCATCATTCCCTCCACCAGGGGCAAAACGGGGAATCCTATGATAAACTGGAGAAACATTCACAGGAGGATCCAGTATTCGAGTATATACCCTCTCTCAAACTGAGTCCTCTTCTGACCTTACGGTCTGTGGTCATGTTTAAGTGAATCATTACGGTCCAAAGCACGTCTGACAGGGTTAACTGCCTTACATGGCAGTCCAACGTGGCAACATATTTGTATTTATCCAACCCCTTCTTCCCCAAAACTTCTTCTCTACCCGTGGTGGCTATTGCCAGGGTGCCGTCGCGATCACAGCCGTGCCGTTTCGACACGGCCGTCACGTGCCTCGCCGTCGAGTACAACGTCACACAGCTCTCGAGGGGGGCGACGGAGGAGCAGAGGAAGGTGACATCGGAGGCACAGGAATTGTCAGAGCACAATGTGTTCTACCAGGCGTTCCTCGTGGACGACAACGTCGTGCCTTGGCTGCTATGCCTCCTCTCCTCCACCTCCGCCACCATGCAGGATATTGACGTGGCGTCGCTGCTCAACCTCTCGAAGCGCCCCGTCGGGCAGATGACCATCGTGGAGGTCGGAAGCGTTGGCCTCATTGTTGACGTGATCAACGTCGTTGCCAAGGCCGAGGCGCAGCATAACATAGTGGCCATCCTCTTCTACCTCTCATCGAACAACCCGGACGCATCCCGAAGGTAATCCTGACGCTGGTCCAGCTCATCCTAGACGGCGCATACCGTGACCGGAAGAACGCCATGGTTAGCCTGTATGGGCTGCTCCAAAGCACGACCAACCAGGGCAGGGCCATCGCCGCGGGCACCGTGTCAGCCCTCGCCGCCTTGCTCTCCACCGACCGCGACGACCTCGCCAGGGACAGCATTGCGCTGTTGTCGAGGATAGCCAAGAAGCCATCGAGCATCATGGCCGTCCTCTCGCAGTCGGGCCTCGTCGCCCACTTCGCTGCGTCGTTGTAGTTGTCGTCGTCGTCCCAGTCGACGCTATGATCGAACAGCACGACGCGACAGTACACAGAAACACCATTAAGATGTTTGTGATGAGAACGTCATTGTTGTTCTTGTCGCCGTTGTCTAGCCGTGAGCACAATTCTCTCTCCAAGAATGCGATCTCCTCGGAGCAATCCGACCAGCCACCGACCCTTACCCGACGCCACGCGAAGTAGAGACTGGATCAGACGAGGAGGAAGAAAAATGCATGGGCCAAAATGCAAATATGTTGTCACACTGGACCGCCATGTAAGACAGTCAACCCGTTCAGAGGTGTTTTGGACCGCAATGATTCACTTAAACAAGATCACGGACCCTAATATCAATTTTCCAAGATCATGAATGTCGGAGAAGGAACTCCTCCACTAGGGAACCGTGAGGCCCCCCTTTGTGAGTTCGGCCGGGGGCAGCGGGTGAGATTCGAGGATTTGGTGAGCGGAGCTGTGTGATCTTGAGGGGGTTAGGCCCCTCCAAGACGATGAGACAAAAGATGTTTATACAGGTTTGGGCCGCTGAGAAGCGTAATACCCTACTCCTGTGCATGATTGATTGAATGTAGAACACAAGTGCTTGGGGTTGCGAGACCCAAGCGCCAGTTCGCTCGGAAGTCCCCCCCTCTCCACCACTAGGCCTGGACCTCCTTTTATACCTCAAGGGGTTACCACATGGGCCCAACAACCTAACCTAGCTCCGGTGGAGAAGTATTATAATCTTTGCATTAAATGCATGTCTTGTCTCTTGACTTGGGAAGCCAAGCACACGTCGTCTTGATGATGGGGCCTATCAAATCTTGCCGCCTGACACGGGGGTGCCCCTGTCAGTCACCATTTAATGGGTGAAGACTTTTGGGCTCCTATTACACCGGGAAACGGGAGCCTTGCTTTGACCAGAGCAGGAGGACCGACTCCGGCTGGGATAAGAGGATGAGAACCTCTCACCATCACTATTTGATGGGACATGTCAGGCTGCACGCCGCCTGACACACGAGCAGTGCACAGGCGCACTAGTCAGTCCCATCGGTTATTCGACCGGTCACAGACCGGTTGAGTGCATCGCACGCCGCATTAAATGCGGCGTGGCGCGACCGCTCGGGACGCCATAAATGCGGGTAGGTGGGCACCTGGAGGCGGACACCTAACCCACCGTACGTGGTGACCTAGAGAGGGGGTCGGGGGAGCCCGACCCCTAGTCACGGGAGGAGGCGGCCGCCGCCCGACCTCGGGCCCGATCTCCCCTCGGGGGGGGGGAGCCACGTGGCGCCTGGGGGTGGCCTTCTCCCTCTAGTCTCGGCCAGGGAATGGCCGCCGCCCTACCTCGGGCCCGACCCTCCTCGGGGGAGGGCCACGTTGCATTGGAGGGCAGCCTCCTCCATCCAGTCTCTGGGAAGGAGTGGCCGCCGTCCTACCTTGGGCCTGACTCCCCTCGGGGGAGGGCTACGTGGCATCGGGGGGCAGCCTCCTCCGACTAGTCTTTCGGGAAGGAGTGGCCGCCACCCCACCTCAGGCCTGACTCCCCTCGGGAGAGGGCCACGTGGCATCGGGGAGCGGGCTCCTCCCTCTAAACCTAATACCCCCGGGCCCATATCACCGATAATGAACCTAAGTGATACCACGCTCTAATTTTAAGGACCGGCCCTATACTTTACTCTTAAAAGAAATAGGGTAATTTTAGTTAGCCAAAAATATATTAAGATAGATTAAGCTGAAGCTTAAAAACTACTATCTCTGCTTTAAAATATAATTTAATATCGGATTTGATTTAACCTAATAATATGAAGAAAGATTCCCTTTTATAACCTTCTTATTGATCAAATTTTAAATTTTAAATTGATTGAATTCCCCTTCTGCATACTTGATTGGCTAGAAAATATTAATTGCACTCCCGTGTATTAAATCAGTATTAAAAAATAATTATATTGTGTATAAAATTTGAAAAGGGTAATATAGGTTGCTTGGTGCTATCTTACATGTTGCCACCATTTTTCCAAACTTATCTAAGCTTATGTACTCAAAATCTTTGACATGCCTTAACGAACCTAAGAGAATTTTGTCATATTATTTTAAAAAATCATTGACACGTGGAGCCTAGTTAGTTGGAACAAAATATTCAAAATATTACCACAACCACGGTTGCAACCAAGTTGTATAAGTTCATCAAAATTAACTATCGTCCTTATACATGATAAATTGTGGCAAGTTATGATCGGTAACCAAACAAACCCATACTTTCACTAAATCCTTTATTTGGATGCACGCCTCATTATTAGGCTTAGTTTTTATATATTGAAGTTCTTGACTCAACTCTCTCGGCGTGTGCACACTTTTCAAACTACTAAGCGGCGTGTTTTTTTTAAAGAAAATCTAATGAAAGCTGCTTTAAAAATTATATTAATCTATTTTTCAAAAACATAACTAATACTACCTCCATATTTTAATGTATAACGCCGTTGACTTTTTTCCAATGTTTGACCATTCGTCTTATTTAAAAAATCTATGTAATTATCATTTATTTTATTGTGACTTGATCCGTCATCCAATGTTCTTTAAGCATGACATAAATATTTTCATATTTGTAAAAAAAATTAAATAAAACGAATAGTCAAACGTTGGTCGAAAAGTCAACAGCGTCATACATTAAAATATGGATGGAGTACTTAATTAATCATTCATTAATGAGTCGTTCTGTTTAACGTATGTGAGGGATGAGAAGTTCCCAACACCAAGCAAAGAACTCAGCCTTAATGAAGCCATTTAATTGATTATGTAGCCCTTTTGAACATATTTTATATTTTTAATGGAAATTAAGAAAATAGACTATTATACCCTTCATTTTCAACTTCATCTCTCTCATTTCTTGTATCTTATGTCACCATGGCCTCTTTAAGCGACTAACATTAGTACGGTGGAGTCATGCGGCTACATAATTCTACTAATTTAAATACTGATGCTGATAAATATACTTGTCTGCATCCTTGGTTAGTGCAGAAGTCTAACGTTATATTTTCATTGTCAAAAACAAAATGGAAATTCATGCTCAATCATCAAGTTTTTTAATATATATTTGTACTTTTCAAATACTCGAATAAACATTTCAGACGCCACATGCTTGAATTTTGGTAAACGAAGGATTCTGGTCTCATGCTCTTGTTTCTCACTCGTCTTGCAACGAACAAGAACATCTACTACTAGAAAAATAATTTGCTCAACATGAATTAGATCTTTTGATAAATTTTCTTTCAACATCTTGTTATGCTTCTATTGTCATTTTGGCCTTGCTACAACTTTTTTGCAAAACTTTATACAGCCAAAAAAAAAGTTCTTTCAAACAAGACAACCCGGATAACATAGAAAAACATTCAGCAATCGGAATGTCCCCAAAAACTCAGAACAATTTAGTAACTTTATTATTATATTCAAACATACCCTTAACATTTTGGAGCATTTACAATGATGCCAATATGGACCTTCAAAAGGAGGCCATGGAGTACATATTATGCGGTCGTGTAAGCTTTTGAGGGGGTGGTGGGGTAGTTTTCAATTTAACAAACATATAATATTGATTTTCATAAAGAAGATGGAAAGAAAAAAAAAAGCAAAGGCTAAGCCATTCAGATGGCAGAGGCTGCTGTCTTTGCTTAATTGAAACCTTTTCCAATAAAGTTGTCTTAGCTGAAATGGATGTTTGGAATTGTTTAAAATTAAAATATTCGTTGTTAACTCCTCTCACTTTTCCTTTATCTGACAGTCAGATTAGTTGGCTCATGTGGGTAAGATAAGCCTGATTAACAAACAATAACTGACAAATGGGCTTTTAAGTCCTTAGTGACCTACTTGTCAGTTAATGCTGATGAAAGTTTTCGGTGTGTAAACATGTGTGTCCAGCTTTTTGCTAAGATGAGATCTTTGTCGTTTGATCTTGTTGTCCCTTCAAAAAAGGATTTGGTCTTGGCTGTTGAAAGATGTTGTTTTCCTTGTAACCACTGGGCAGTTCCCAGATCAAATTTATATTAGTACAATATTTGCCAAAGTAGCTCATGGGAAAATGTGAGGACATTTTGTTCAAGATGCACCCATAAACTAAAAGAAGCATCCCTTTCAAGTGTGATGTTAAGAGATTTGGATATAAAGTGCTGTGTTCTTGACCAGTCCAACAAATGTGAAAGATGTTCGAAACATTGAATCAAAGATTGTTTTGCTTCTCCTTTCAGCCAGAAACCTAAAAAGCTTATATAGGATGGGAAGAGAGAAGAAAAAAACATCATTTTTGTGAATTATCCAAAACTATTTAAAAATTAAGTTCTCACTCAGGGGCGGAATCAGGCATGGGGCAGCTAGGGCTTGGGCCCCATGCCTAGCTCCATAATCCCTATTATAATCTTCAAAAATGCTATGTAATTTGTGAAAATATTTGAGATCCTATTAGCTCAGCCCTAGGCGTGAAAATTTTCTGGCTCCGTCAGTGTTCTCACTGTTAGCTTGGAAGTCACCAAACAAAACATGTACTCCATCATTGAACACGTGTCATTTTCTTTTGTTTGGTAATAATTTAATAGATGACCTAATCCAATCCAATATAGGTGAAGGCTTAATAATCTAGAAAAGCTGCGCACTAATCCAACCTCCTCTGTCTCTTTTGTCATCTGAAATGTTTTCTACTAGTACAAGTTTAACCACAACTCATGTGAGTAAAGTTAACCTCATTCCTATTGGAAAAAAATACATATACAAAAAAAAATCAAATTCTGGCTTCACATTATCTGGTGAAATGGTTATTTATGGCTGGTCCATAGAACATGATGAGAGAGTGAGACAAGCAGTACAGGGAACAGCATATGCAGCAGAATGAGATGAGCTGTTGGGTGCCCTGGGCAAGAGGGAATGCAAGAGGAGGGAGGAAAGGGAGATGTTGAATTGGCTATACACCAACCCACTCACTACAAGACATGATCTGTATGAGAATCTTGACCTTGGCCTCTTGCAAATCATACAAACCCTAGAGAGAGAAAGAGAGAGAGAAGCTAGCAATTGTTTTATTCTTATTTTTTTGTGAAAAAAATGTGAAGGCTGCTTAGCTTTGCCCCCACAAAAATCTGATGGTGATATTGGCCTCAGCAAAGGGGCACAGATGGATCAGCGGTGACACCAGTGAAGTTGGGTCCCCCTTATTCATCTCTCTCTCTCTCTTTTCTTAAACATGATTTGGCTACTATCAATGATGTAGCATTTTCAACCTATAATATGGTTTTGGGGAGCCATGTGGGATGCATGCCATTATCACACTGTGGACATTTCATCAGTAATCTAATAAATGTAGACTGTTGTAATAGTTTGACTAAGGCCCCACCATTTTTTTGTATAACATTGCAGGAATATCACAAAAATTCATAGGAATATGAAAGAATCAATTCATTCATTTCATGCAAGAGTTGGAAATAATTCTTGTGTTCTAATCAGCTCTACACTTAACATTGAGGACAAACAATACTAGTTGATTACCTTATTTGATGAAGTGCTTAGCACTTGTGTGTGTGTGTATCAGAAATGTAAACGGTTTTTTTCCATTATCTGAAAATTTAGGGAGATGATCCCTTTCTAAGCACACTTTAGGCTTCCATTGACTTTTAAGAAAACATCCTTCTTAATTTTTTTATCCTTTCACATTTGAAGTATGAAACCTACAAAAAGTTATGTGAAATTCTCTCTGATGGAAGGGGGTTAGGGCTCTTGAGCTCATAGCAGTTGGAAGGGTAAAAAAAAAATTGGTAGATAAAAAGGAAGTAGCTTACACAGTTGATTGGCATGAGGGATCCATGTGCCCACAAGATGGGGGTGCTCTCACCTTTGTTCTACTCCCTCTACCGATTAAAGCCCTAATCATGGTTGGCAAGAAAGGCAGCAGGATGAGGAGGGCATAGTTGGTACCAACTACATTCTCAAGTCTCATTTCCTTTCTACCTCCTATCCTTTCCCTTTTTCATACCTGGTTTGTCTGTAGGATAGCTGGCTATGTTTGAGATAGCTGAAATTGATGGATTGATGGATCTGTAGTAGCTATTTGAGAATATAAGTGAATGGATTAACTAATACAGATTTGAAAAGCCGCTTTAGAAAAGTATTTCAAGATAATTTTATATTGAAAATTTATATATATGAAACAAAGTTGAAAAGTTGCTTTAGAAAAGTATTTCAAGAAAAAAGTATATAGAAAAATTTTATATGAAACACTCTGTTTAGAAATTTAAAAAGCGTGCGAACAAAATCTTCAGTTTCGGATGGAGGATTCAAACTTAATAACATACTTAGATAAGCACGGTTAATTTTACAGGGTTTTCACAGAAATTTTACATAGAACAATTAAAGTTCTACTCAAATATTTCCTCCTGGATTCCAAACTGGTCATAAATCCCCATGTTGGTGTCCGGACAAATTTGGCGGCCTCGGTGAAAAGGGGCAACGTTAGCCCATGGGTGTGAAAAGCTAGCAACAGCGCTTGAAGAAGTGAACACAGGAGAGGAGGATAAACACAACGTCCCATCCCATCATCATCTTCTTCACCCCATTGGCCGGTGGAACTACTTATTGTTACTACCACTGCACCTCCTACAACATGTAGCGGCTGCCTCCTCTATCATGACCTGTCCTCCTCACCCCTCACTCACACAAACATTGTACCATCAAACATGCAACTCCACTGAACAAAAACTCTTCAGACATGTACGTAGTAGAGAGACGGAACATTGGTGTCAAAATTGATGAGCAGAGGAAAGAATTGAAGAAGATACCAACAATGCCAGTTCACTCATTGCTGCAAATGAAAGAGGAAAAAAAATGTGGGCTACTAACCCTCTGGGCCACAATAGACATTAGCATCCTTACTCAAAAGTGCATTAGTGCTAAGCTAGTGCTACACAGTAATGTGATGGAATCAGAGAGAGCCCCACCAGCACACATAGGATAATAACACAGTATAGTACATGGATGAAATGCGTTGCACCACAACATCGCTGCATCACTGCAGAGCACAAGCTGCACACATGGTCCTCTTCCTCATGGCATAGAGCAGCAGCAGCCAGCAGGCAGGCACTGCAACGAATCGCCTCGCATCAACACATCAACACGACGACCCTTGCAGTGCTAGTGTGCTACTGCTAGTGTGCTTACACTACTGCTACTACTACTAGCTGTAGCTGCTGAGGCTGGCAATGGCAGATTGGCAGTGCAGGAAGGGCAAAGGAAGGCCCACACACACATAGACCTGCCATTGCAATTGCCATTGCCATTGCAATGCCAGTGTGGCCCCACCCAACACATGTGCTACGGAGTACTAGTACTGATTGCTGGACAAAGAAGACATGGCATAGCATTGGCCTCTCCCTATACTTCTCTACAAGACAACAGCTACTCCACAACTTCTCTACAAGAGTATACAAGTAGCATGTACAAGTACAACAGTGTGCTTGCTGTATGTATTGTAGACCAGACAAACATACATGCATACCAAGCTCTCTTGCCTGTCATGGATCATCGATGATGGTACTCATACATACAAGTACTCCCTCCGTCCAAAAAAAAAAGGCAAACCCTGAGTTTCCGTGTCCAACTTTGACTGTCCGTCTTATATAAAATTTTTTTATAATTCATATTTTCATTGTTGTTAGATGATAAAACATGATTAATATTTTATGTGTGACTTATCTTTTCAATTTTTTTCATAATTTTTTCAAATAAAACGGACAGTCAAACGTTGATTACGGAAATCAAGGTTTGTCTTTCTTTGGAACGGAGGGAGTAGTAGATAGATGGAAAGAAAGAAAGGTAAGGTAGAGCCTAGAAAAGCAGCAGCAGCCAGGAGCAGTAGTTCATGAGTGCGACAGTGCCACCACCATTGTGGTGCACGCATGCAAGGAGCAAGCGCACGCACAGGCACAGGCACAGCACTGCCATGGATTGGATGGACTTATCTTGTGCATGCAAGCACAAAGGACATGGCGTGGACTTCTAATACCAAACAGCAACAACCATCAGCCAACTTTGGTATGGTATGGAATGGATTAGTAACTAGCTGTGACAGAGATATGCGCATGCAGGGTTTGATCAATGCCGGTGACACTACTCAAACTCTGAAATCTGAACAACTCTGCTTTAATATGAATATGAAGGCCAGTGAAAATGGCACTTCTATCTAACACATGTAGTTTGTAGTAGTACTGTAGTAGTAGTTTGCAATAATAATGAACAAGATTGCCTTCGGCATATGGTAGACAAAAAGAAAAACGAAAACTAGTGTTACAAACAAATTACAGAGCTATCTATGTGCTGAGAGAAATACTACTACTAATTGTATATATGGAGTATCTTACCAGCCGTATACTGGGTTCTGTACCTGAGGCGGCAAGAGGTGGAGGTCCAAGCTATGTTGCTTGTTGTAATTGAGGGTGCCGGGTATTGCTCCGGTTGACAGTCTGAGGAGCTCATTGCCAGTGAAGCAGTAGTGGGCGAAGGCCAGCCCACCATCTACCATGTCTGACATGTTCGGCAACGAGGCTGATTTTTCCATCTTATTGTCTCCACTTTTACCACATCCACTGGTGCTGGTGGTGCAGTCCCTGTTGCTGCTGCTCAAGACCTTGTCCAGCTCGGAGTGCTCCATGAATCTCTGTGTTGCGGCCTCCCAGGATAAGTTGTATCTCTGCTCAGGTGTGAGGGGTTGTGGATCGCGTGCCATTGCTTCCTTCACTTTCGCGACAAAGTCCTCCGATGTTTTATATGTCAAACAGTTCGGGAATGACCTGAAAAAATCATTCGATGGGTGGTCTGCGCAGACAACAAACTTACCCATTGCTAATGCCTCAGCGGTCGCAGTGCAAAGGACATCACTAATGCTTGGATTTATAAAAACCTTGTACCTGAAAGAAAAAAAAAACAGGAAAAACATTCAAATTAACTATATCTAAAGATGTAGGAAGATGTCAGGCAGTGAGAGGCTCTGTCTTTTACCCATGAAGAGAATCATCCGCATGATCCCGGCCTTTATGAAAGTTAAGGTTTAGGTTCAACTTCATAGCCGCTGATTGCACCTCATGTGAATCTTCACCATTTCCATAGATGTCCAACTTGATGCCTTCCAAATCACTCTTGTGTTTGGCATACAAATCTATCAATTCTCTGTAACCTTTGGCCCAGACCATCTTCCCTAGAAAATAAGCTCCTTTGGAGAAAGAATGCTGGCCAGATTCCCTCTCTGCTGCAATTCTCTCTCCAACCTCAAGAAACTTGGGATTGACACCATGTACATTGCAGATCATGGACTTGGGGAGATCTTGTGTAGCTCCTGACAGTCGCAAAACCTACGTTGTACCAACCATCAGCTCAGTAAGGAAAATCAACTAAATTACATAATTTTTGAATACTTATGCGTTAGCTACATGATAGAAACTTCACACTGTCACACTTGAACATTGCAGACCCTACTTAATTGAGTACCTTATGGCAATATGCTCTGGCAACCAAATTGTTGATGTGCTTCACAAAAAAGGCTTGAATAACACCATTCTTCTCCCTTTTAATGTACTCCAAATAATTTGTATGCACAACACCAACAACATGATTAAATTTATCAGTCCAACGTTTCCCATGATGGTACCAGTTCAGGTGCTCAGGCTCTTCCAAAATAGCAATGTCAGCTTCCTTTGATGGTATAAATTGTGAAGTGTCCCCCGCAGGAATTATGCTTCTCCGTTCTTTTTGAAACTATACTTTGCAAACAATTGATATTAGACAAGTAATGAACACAATGTTGCAAGGTTATTCACTTGTTATGAAAAGAGAACCCTTACCTTTCCAGGATAGAATGATATTTTGAAGTCTGTCTTGAAACCAACCCTTTCTTCCAGCCAACTCCTCATATAAGCTTCTTGTTCTTGTGGAGAACTAAATGTCATGCTATTGGGATACACAAGTTCTTGATCAGACTTGCAAAGCCAAGGCACCACCAAGGTTACATCTTGCTTGGAAGACTTAGCCAAGTAAGCAGCTCGAAATAAAGGATTTACAGCTGTTCCAGTCATCCAGGGAAGACTGGCAGTGGTGACTATCGCAACATGCCTCTTGTCAGCTGTTTCATATTTATGCCCATCATTCCAAAATCCACCTTCATAATTGTGTCCTGTACTTTGCACGACACTAGCTATTCTTAGGTCAAGTTCATCACCAGCATTGTCATTGCTGAATGCGGATGGTTCACTTGCTGGAAATGAATTATATGCAAGGTGGTCCTTGCGTTTGCTGCACAGAGATTCCACCAGCTTATCGCACACGTCTATAGCATATGACAAAGAAAAATCAGCTCAACATAGTCTCAAACTTCAAAATATAAAATCTCTGAAGATCTAGAATGCAATAAAAAAATAAAGTCAAACTTCATACCTCTTTTTATACCAAGTTGGTCAAACAATGGCCCAGATTGCTTTAGGAAATATGCCAGGAGTTCACCTAAATCTAGCGGTGGAACTTCCTACATTACAACAGTACTGATTAAAGCAATGAATAAATCACGCAGTGTTATCAACATATCAATGCTGTTGAAACCATGTTCTGAAGATCACAAGGTGGCATGGTTAAATTTTTTTATAAAAAATTTGATGGTCAAGTTTATTTAGACAAAAGATTTAATGAGGTAACATGATACAAATATATCTGAACAGTGATATACAAAACAACAGTTCTATGGTCTTCGTTCTGGAAACAAACAGAACTCTACACATCCAAAATTAGTAGTACATACACAGCAGAAATGAACTGAAGGCAACATTTTGCAGAATTAATTCCTTCATATTAAAAAAACCCTTGCTAGTCTGTACTACAACTTTACAAGGCATTCATACTGGGAGAAGTAAATTCCTTGACAATGACAAACAAACACTAGTATGTGTATAAAATGGTCATTCTTGAATGCATATTGCAAGAGGATATGAAACAAGATTACTACCTCAGATGCTTCAGGTACAAAGCTCATTGATTTCTGCAATAAAGAACAGAATGGTACATCAATATAGTGAGATCATACATGTGTTCTATTCAAGGTAGAGTCTCTCTACCTTTTGCGTCAAAAAAAAAACATGTGTTCTATTCGTAGGTTACTAGAGCAGGCTGTAGCGTGTAAAGAATAAGCCTAATTAAGATCTGTGCATTTACAAGCAAGCAATCAGAAACAATATTTGATAACTACAAGTTTATTTTTCAATTGCTGATACATCTAAGTAAAATTTGAAATTCTTCACTCACATCACAGATTCACAGTAAACAAGAAGTTACAAATATAGCTTCAGATATTCTATTTTCCATAGCAAAACCTCCCACTACTCTGCATATATGCCTTGGGGGCCATTGCTACTGTGTTCAACATGGTCTTTTTTTCACCCCATGTACTCCCTTTTGAATCAATACAATTCATTCATGTGGGCTTTGCACTCTTTGTTAAGTCTAAAGGCAACCATAAATCCAAACATGGAAAACGAGAGTTGGTTAGATTTTCAGGTACCATTAACTCATTACAGAGTGTAGCATCAGTTTAACATTTGAGCCTCCAGTTCCAATCGGTACTAATTTTTCACTAGCCCATTTTGTAGAAAATTTTCAATTTGAATTAATCAACCTCTGAAAAGCTAAAAATCACAAGGCATGGAATATGCCTAAGACTTGCCTAGCACCCTTATCGCTTAATTTCTTCCAGAGTTTTGATCTTTATAAGATATGATGGGAAAATATTGACTATTGAGGAATCACTACCGAGATCAATTTGAGCATCATGTTGATATGATGGGCAGATATTGGGGAATAGCTACCGAGATCAATTTGAACATCATGTTGAGGTTGTATACTCCAGTTTTCAACTACAAGTACAGCTATGAACCATAATAACTAATAGCTAAGCTACCCTAGAAGACCAATTTGATCCGTTTCATATTTCCCAAGCCTGTCACATATTAACCTGAGCATTTCAGTTGACCCCATTTCAACTTGATCACCCTGCAATATTTCTTTTTTGTCCCAGGCTGTACTATAAAATTCGATATGGAGCTCAAGAGAACCACAAAATTTCTCCAATACCAGGCTAATAAATCCCGGAATGAAACACACATCGAAAGTGAACCTAACCATATCAATTATTATTCCTTTCACCATCGTACTCAATTTAAGTTATTCCTGCTTCCAGGGGCAATCAGTAAGAGTTCGGTAAAGTCTCCAGGAAGTATGGAATCTCACCAAGCTGAGCTTGACCTTGTGGAGCATGTCGGTGGCCTGCCACTGCCGCCTCCGCTCCATCTCCCTGAGGCGCGCCTTGACCATCCGTATGGGCTCCCACTCCTCGGCCTCCTGGACCTCCTCCCACCCCCACCTCGCCCCCCTGCTCCCCCTCCCCACCACCCCCGTCCCGAACGCCTTCCCGATGGCCGACAGGTCCAGCCGCGTGGTCCCCGCCGACGACGAGTACGCGCGCCGGAGCCGCGCGAGCAGCTCCGGCTCCGGCACCGGCGCGGTCAGGAACGTCTCCAGCTCCCCCGCCCGCGCGCGGATCAGCCGCAGGTCCTCCCGGAGGCCGCGCGACAGGAACGACAGCGCCCCCTCCCCCGCCGCTCCCGCTCCCGCTCCCCCGCCTCCCGCCGCCGCGGCCGCCGGCCGCGTGTCGACGCCGTAGCTGGCCATGGGTACGAGGAGATCGCCGCTAGGGTTTTCGCCGGCGACGGCGAGGCGTGCGGGGAGGAGGAGGAGGCGGTGGTGGATGTGAAGGATTGGGAAGCGAAGCGAAGCCGCCGCGGCGGTGGAAGAAGAGAAGAGGAGATTTGGCGGGGCCCACGCGGAGAGGTGGGGTGGCTAATGCGCGGAATCAACGGCCAGGATCGACACTTTCCGGGGGGAAACGAAGGCGATGGACGATGATCCTGACAGACATGACATGGATTGATACCGGCCGTTGGTAGCAATGTCAGTCAAACACATGGCAAATCACATTTTTATTTGTAGTTTCTCCTTTTTCTTTTACAAAACTCAATATAAACGCAAAAACTCGCAACCTGCGCATACGTGAGCGTATGCACACACACTTTACCTTATGAACATATTGGAAAGACTATGCCGGTATATCTTGAGATTGAAGAAATTACCGTAAACAGCACATCACTATTAACGGGTATGTCGCTATCGTTTACTACTGAAATAATAATTAGCTATAAATACAAGTTACCGTGAAAGTATAGAACTTGAACTCAGTAGACTGGTCCAACTACAAGGTAATCACATTTCTCATCATGCACTAACTTTACATCAGGGGAAAAAAGAGAGACCAAGTTACAACTGAAAGAAATTAATCAGTCTGTATATAACGCGAAATAGTGATCCAGAGAAGAAAAAACTGGCTGAAATTTGAAGACCTCCAGGCCAAACAAACAAACTGAATTCAAGTGTGGTTAGCAGAACACAAGACATATCCATTAGCAGCAAAAGACAGACACGAGAAACACACTTGCTGGAAGTACTCATTCAGATTAGCACGAATGACAAAACAAGACTGCAAGCAACACTAACATACTTCTGCACGGCAACTTCAGTTTGGAATCATGCAGACTTTCACTCCAGATCCATCACAACATCGAAAGCAACGGCTGTGTTTGTTCTTGGCAAACAACCGTTGAGGAAACGCCACTCACTGTGACACGGGGGATCTGAATCTGGTACATTCTCGAGAGAAACTGTACCTGTAACCTGTGGAAGGAAAAATGCGCGGTGCAAATTTTTCGGCAGAAAGCGCCATTGCAGTCAAGTTCATCTTCAGTATATTTCCTGGGCAGGAAGCTGCTTTGCAGTGCAGGGTTTCTTGGCCGCCAACCATGTGTTGCTGATGTTTCTCTAGTCATCTACAAGTGTCAGCATCAGCAATTCAGCATAGCAATGTCTGGCACAGGAAAGAGTTGCTCTGGCAGCCGTGAAAATTATGGCTCTTTTTCTTCATCAATTCATCAAGACTCAAGAAAAGGTTAAGATGGAGATGGCACTCCTGTATTTGTCTTACCTCTTTTTCCTGCCAGTTTGCACAATCAGGTTGCCAGCATCAGTCTATCAGAGTCTTGAACTCGTAGGCCCAACTCTTTATTCTTTTACAGCCATATCCAAGTTATCTGAAGGATCCCAAGAGCTCCAATCAAATGCCAGACAAGTTATTCACACCAACTCGAGATAAAACAAATTCACAAGTTCACAACTGATAATTCATTCATGGTATTTTTTTGCGAACGCATAATTCACTCATGGTAGCCCCTCACAAGGCTGTAGGCACAGGAGATTGCAAGCTCCAATTAACTAACTACCCATTGCATAGCAGCAGGTACAATCCCATAACGTGAGATTTGCCAGAACAATGGAGATTCATAACTTGATTCTGAATAAATTTCAGCAAAGCGACATCATACTTGACAAAGTCCTAATAGACTTTTCCTGCCTTGCTATCCAAGTTTGACAGTTTTGCAGAAATTTTGACAAACCTGCTCTTCAGCAATTACTCAAGTTTGACAGTTCAGTTTGTTAACTTGACAACTTACCAGCTACTGCTTTGTGTGCTGCACTGCTGGATCCATTAATCAATGTGAAAGAAGCCGACCAGGCACAATCTGAAAATGAGAAAACTGACTGGCATTTCAGTGTGGTAGATGTCAAAGTATGCAACCATACAAGGCCAGCAAGGAAATGACTGACACTCATTTGGTTCATACACTGTCATAATGTTGCCCCTGCTACACATGACAGTATGAAACTGACATAGCCTTCAATAGAATCCACATTTTCACCTGCTTGGCACTCACACAGTCCCTCTAAACTGCCAGAACAATGGTTACCACCTTTCCATCCATTTCTCTTCGCATCAAACAGTTCAGTGAGAGCATAGACATAAGTTGATCTCGAGGGTTCATCCATTCATGCAATGCCCACCACCCATCATGCAAAGCCCCTTCTGAATTTCATAAGGAATGATCTAATTCCCGGAAGAGCTGAAAATAAACTCCTCCATTAAAAAAGAAGCCTCAAACCACAATGATTGCACGGTTGCACCGTTGGGGCTTCTGCTGCATTGCATTGCAGAATTACAGAATAATGCACTTGAAGAACAAACATTTCCACCTTCCCATCAGTTTCCAATCAGCTTCAACTTTTCAGGATTTGTGAGCTTCAAGCAGCAAGTGCAAAAATCAGGCAATGCCATACCGGCGCATCAACCCGTGCACTCTCCCAGCCACATCGACGCGGCCGTGCACCCGGCACGCGGCGAGGAGCACGGCGCAGATCACCCTGTCCGGGCGCGCCCCCATCCGCGCCACCAGGCGCTCCGCCTCCTCGACCTCGCCGGCGCGCCCCAGCATCTCCACCATGCACGTGTAGTGCTGCAGAGCCGGCCTCCTCCTCACCGTCGCGAACACCCTCCTCCCTTCGTCCACCATCCCGGCCCTCGCGCACGCGGCGAGAACCGCGGTCACCGCCTTGTCGTCCATCTCCTCCTCCGCAAGGCCGGCGAAGAGGTCGAGGACCTCCCGGCACCGGCCGTGAGCGGACATCGCGCTGGCCAGCGCCGTGCGCGCGGAGAGCGTCCGGTCCCGCGGGGGCAATTCGTCGAACAGATTGCGCGCGGAGGCGAGGTCGCCGCATGCGGAGTAGGCGTGGATGAGGGACGGGGCCAGGACGGCGCCTCGGCGGAGCGCCGCCGCGTGGAGGGACGCCACGAGGGGGAGAGACGGCAGGGAGGCGGCGCGGCGGAGAAGGACGGCGTAGTGCCGACGCATTGCCGGCTCTGCTTGCGTAAAGGCTTTCAATAGTCAATAGCAATACGGTGAGCTTTTCTCGCGCGTCATTGCCTCCGGAGAAACTCGAGTCCGCCGCCGCCGCCGCCGCCGCTCCGTCCGGCTGCCTACTCCTCCGCCTCCGGTGTCCTCGCCGGACACGAGAAGGAGGGGCTCGTCTCTCGTATTCTCGTCAGTCTGCACTCTGCAGTAAGATTTTAGTATTAGGGATTTACTCATTGGTCTAGGGTTTTTCTTTTCTTTCCGTGGTGCAGATTTGGTTGGTGCGTTTTGTTTTTTAAAACTCTTTTTACAAATTGGCCCTTTATGAAAACTTATTTCGAACTAGATCGTAAAAAAAACTTCATCCAAAAATAAACCACGGGTTCAACGCCATGGCAGATGGCGTTAAGGTTAGCCTTAGCGCTGACCCCTACCGAGCGTGGCGGCCGAGCAGATCTCCTGTCGACGTGGCAGGGGTTTTATCGGTGAGGTCACTAAGCTCAGCGCCAGACGCATTGGTGCTAACCTAGTGCCATATAGGTCGCTTCTGAGCTGCCCCGGCTCGACCCCCCCCCCCCCCCCCGCCCAGCTAGTGTTCATCCACTCACGCGTCGTCATCTTTCCTTCCCTCCGAAAATCTCCTAAAATCTCTCTCAAATCGTTTGCAGAACACTCCCCCCCCCCCTTCCCCACATTAGTATCTTGGCTGAAATATAGTTTCACTACTTTACAAGGAAGAAAACTGTACAAATAGAGAAAATGTTGGTAAATACTAAGTATATATGATACAATTAAATAAAAAAGTGTATATGACACAAACATGATATTACCAGGTGAATAACACACATCACTTTCTTAAAACATGATTTCTTTCCCATCACACATTATTGTATTGTTCGTGTTCAATTTCTTGGGCATACATGACTGGAATTATCTGAAAAGAGGTTGGGGATCGAATTGTCTAAAATCATATATACAAGGTATACAGAAATCAATTGATACATAAAAAAAATAATAAATTCATTTGCATTCAACAAATAATAGAAGCATTTAATTTCTTATCTATCCATACACACAATAAACAATGCACCTAAATGGAAAAACATCGATCGTCTGGAACTATCTATCTTGATGTTTGGATTAGGAACAAAATTTCAGTTACTATCACATCAGATGTTTGGACACTAATTAGAAGTATTAAACGTAGACCAATAATAAAACTAAGGCAAAATTGGTTATATAGCATCGAAAGTTCACGTTTTTGGTTTTATAGCACCGAAAGTTACCGGTTCACTTTAATAGCACCCAAAGTTCACCATGTTCTCATTTTTAACACTTCCGTCAATCTCGATCGTTTTCCGTCCGTCTTGATCCAGCCACACACACGATATGACGTTTGTACCCCTCACAAGTACAAGTATAATGCATGTCAATGAGGGGTAGAAATGTCATATCATGTGTGTGGCTGGATCAATAACGATCAAGACGGATGGAAAAATTGACGGAAGTGCTAAAAATGGGAACAGCGTGAACTTTGGATGCTATTAAAGTGAACCGGTAACTTTTGATGCTATAAAACCAAAAACGTGAACTTTCGATGCTCTATAACCAATTTTGCCTAAAACTAATTACATAAATGAGAGCTAATTCGCGAGACAATTTTTTTAAGCCTAATCCATAATTACCATATGTTTACTGTAGCATCACATAGGCTGATCATGGATTAATTAGGCTAAATAGATTGGTCTCTCGAATTAGTCCATGGTGGTTTCGTCATTAGTCTACATTTAATACTTCTAAATAGTGTCCAAACATTCAATGTGACAAGGACTAAAACTTTAGGTCCTGATCCAAACAGCCCATGAAACATCCTCTTCCCATGGTTATATTAGACAATTCACCTCCTCCTTTTAGTGTTGCTATTTTCATTTTTCTCGATTTTTGTAACTTCTCATAGTCTCTTCCCCTTTGCCCCAACCCAAGCAATCGACCCCCACACAAACACCTGCTTCTCACATTGAACCCCTCATCCCAGCGCATCCCTTGCATCAAAATCTTTGCATCCACCATTATCAATGAGTCCCATCTAGAGCCTTGAGATGGCTGTTGGAATTTTATGCATAATCAATGATACTAGGTCTTTTTGATATATACCTTCATTTCTTTTTACGTTAGCACTACTCGAAATCATTTTAGCTGTGGGACAAAACTGCAAATGGCATAGTGGAAATAGTTTCATGAGGTCTACAAATGATATTCTTTAGTATAGGACAATAAACAAAAACCAATTACCCATACATATCAGCCGATCTGATCAAAATTGAGCAAAGTTTGTGCTAGACGAGGCAGTCCAAATTCATGTATATAATATATATATATATATATATATATATATATATATATATATATATATATATATATATATATATATATATATATATATATACTGGGACCGTCGGATCGCCTCGGATGGCGTGCATCCAATCCAAAAATTCTCAGATGCGAAACATGGATTGATCATAGCGCGCGCCCGTCCTGAGCCCCATCATCCTTCGCGTCCGCGCGATGAAGTAATCCCGGGGCTTGATCACGCCGGGGAGGTGGCCGATCACCGTCATGAACGGCAGCTCGGCGAGCGCGTCGCGGCGGCCGAGCGTGACGGTGATGGCCGCCTTGGACGCCTTGTACCGGTGCAGCTTCCGCTCCTTGCTGCTGCCGCCGCCGTCGCCGCCGCCGGCCTTCACCAGCAGCCGCAGGTTGCGCGACACCACCATGGCGTGCCGCTGCGCCAGGTACCCCTGCTTCGCCTCCGGCACGTCCGTGATGTCGCCGATGGCGAACACGTTCCTCAGCCCGCCCACCCGCAGGTGCTCGTCCACCGCCACCTTCCCGTCCCCGCCGACGTGCTCGCCGAGGAACGACTCCCGCAGCCACCCGGACGCCACGGGGCGACCCGTGCACACGAAGTGGCAGTCGGCGGCGACCGTCTCGCCGGCGGACGTCGTGAACACCTTGTCGTCCGTGTTGGCGCCGGCGGCGGCGGCTGCGAGGTCGACGGTCTGGTCGAGCAGGACGGTGACGTTCTTGGAGCGGAGCCACTCGAGGGCCTTGGCGGACGCCTTCTCGCCCATCACCATGAGCAGGCGAGGCCCGCCGTGGACGAGGGTGACGCGCTTCTCGGGGCTCGCCATGACGATCTCCGCCGCGAGCTCCACGCCGATGGGCCCGCCGCCGACGACAAGGACGGACCCCGCCGATGCGATCCGCGCCTTGTCGTGCTCGAACATCTGCAGCCGGTCCTCCCGCTTCTGGGGGCGGCTGCACTCGCGGCCCGTGGCGACGACGAGGAAGTCGTAGCCGACGGCGCCGCCGGCGGAGGTGAGCACCACGGAGTCGTCCACGCCGACCGCCGCCGCCGTCACCACCTTCGCCTGCGTCAGGTACTCCGAGTGCGGGATCACCGTGCGCGCCACCGCCGCCGGATCCATCTTCGCGCGCAGGTTCGCCCACGGGATCTCGAAGTACTCCTTCCTGCATTGCTCCGCCATTGATGATCGTTGCAGCTAGCCTAGCCACCCTGCACCTTCTTGAATGAAAGGAGAAGAAGAAGAAAGAAAATGGCGGGCGGCCACGTACGGGTCGATGAGCACGACGTCGGCGTGGTTCTGGAGCGTCTTGGCGAGGAGGGCGCCGGCGATGCCGCCGCCGACGATGACCACGCGGTCGCCGTCGCACCGCAACATGGCGATCGAGCTGCCGGATCAATTCTGAAAATTAATTTATCGATGGATAGACGGGGTCGTCTTATTGTTTTTGGGCATTTCCATTGGGGGGGGGGGCGCTGTATTGTCTCTCCGGTGCCTGGCATGTGAGGGGATGGACCCACCTGTCAATCACCCTACTGGAAATAGGGATTACTAATTTTTGCCCTCCAGAAACTAAATAGCATCTCTCCCTTATCTTTATCCCAAGAAAAATCTTAATGTATTCAGAAAAAGAAAAATCTTAAATCTGGTGAACAAATAATTTTCTGAAATTAGGCAGAATCTGTAAGTATTGAGTTCCCTTGTATTATGTATAAGTTATAAAACTCTCCAATAGCCAGATCTTAATGCAGTGAACCGTGAACGTAATTGGGCTAGAATGTGACTGCGGCTTAATTAGGAAAAAAAATCTTAATGTCTTCAGAAAAAGAAAAATCTTAAATCTGGTGAACACATAATTTTCTGAAATTAGGCAGAACCTGTAAAGTATTGAGTTCCCTTGTATTATGTATAAGTTGTAAAACTCTCCAATAGCCAGATCTTAATGCGGTGAACCGTGAATGTAATTGGGCCAGAATGTGACTGCGGCTTAATTAGGAAAAAAAAGTACATATGAAGTCTCTCATCTTATCGCCGAATTACATAATCGTCATTCAACGAAAAAAACAAATATATGTCATCCCTCAACTTATAAAACAATATCACTTTGGGTCCTTAAGTAGTATTGACCCCGGTTTTATTCAATGTGACGACTGAGTTAGCGTGGGACCCATATGGGTCTCACATGTTAGCACCTCAATCCTCATCTTTCATTTTTATCCTCTCTCCATCTCAATATAAGCCTCCATGGCGGCCGGCGATGGGTAGGGGGAACCGGAGAAGGGTTGTGGCCGACGGGAGAGCCGAGGCAAGGGAGCATGGGGGAGAGCAAGTGGGGGGGCATGGGGAGGGACGAGCCGCTTAGCGGTGACCTTATCAGTGAACTCCGCCTCTCCTCGTCGCTTCCATCGAGGGATCTATTCGGGCCAGACCGCTGTCACCTCTTCACCGCAGGACTCCTCTCCCGCCTCGTCCTGCCTAGCCTCCTCCACACACGACAGATGGGAGGCAAGAGAGGTGGGAGGATGGCACGATCGACAAGCTCGAGGCGGGGCACAGGGACGCAGGGAGCGCAGGCGGACGGCGCAACTGACGAGGTTGAGGTGGGGCGCGAGGAGGTAGCTGGCGAGGTACCAGGGCTATGATTAGCTTTGTCACTGCGCCCAATCGCCCTGGCCTATTGCTCTCAACCACCGATTCCGTCCCCGTCCACCATGGATCGCACCAGCAGCAGCCGGTGTGCCCAGCTTGGCGGGGAGGGGGTCCTTGATGGCAACCGGCTTCACCCCGAGCTCGCCACTGTCGACTTTCTGCCGACTTTCCACTGCCTACCTGCCGTTGCTGCCTTTCCGCTGATGAGCGGGCGAGCTCAAGCTCGGTGGCTAGCCGACGCTGCTGCCACGGAACTCCTCTCTGTCGGCGCCGCTACCGCCTATCTCCTCTTCACCACCCTTCTCCTTGCCGGCCGCCACCCGCCGCCCGCGCCGCCTTCTCACGTCAGTCGTGCATTGGAAAGAGATGAGGGAAGAGAGGGGAGATGGGGAAAGAGGAAGAATAAGTTGTTGTTTCACTGACATGTGGGGCCCATGTGAGTCACGCTGATTCAGCCGTCACGTCAGACAAAACTGGGGGTCAACCAAAGTCAAGCCAGAAGTGACCCAGTTTCGTAAGGTGAGGGATGTCATAAATCTGATTTTTTTTTCCGTTGAGAGGCGATTTTGTAATTCGGTGACATGATGAAAAGACCTTTTCCGCTTAATTACTTGTGCCCATCCTGGTTCGGCCGGAATTGGATCACAGATGAAAAGCATACCCATCATATCCGGGCCTGCTGGCTAGGACGACGTTATCAATGATGGGCCGAAGCCGGGTTTTCCGTTGAGTGGAAACTCTGGAAAAATTCAGATCCCTCTTCTGAATTTTCAGTATGAAAAAAAATTGTAATAAGGATCAGTGACTAGAAAACTGAATGATCGATTATTTCTTGTCCTCAAAATTGTAATTACTTATAATGGCAGTTGTTCCACCACAGATAATATGTGCATATAATTATCCTCAACGATTAAAAACATGAACCGTACAGATAATCTGAACACGTCAGCAAAACTCTGAAACAACTATTAATTACAAGCTAACAACTCAGTAATTGAGGCCGTATCACTTTTTGACAGCACGCGGAAAAATAACCTAAATACGCAGTTGGATTCTAAACATAGCCCAACCCATTTTTTTCACCAACAAAAATAAAACCCAAAAGTAAAAAAATGTGAAAAAAAAGGGAAACAACGTGTGAAAATTAATTAAAGCACTCACACACGTTCCCCACTATGCACACGCATGCATGCATGCAATTACCGTGTGCGTGCTTCGCCGTCGTCTCCCACACGTACGGACGCCGTGTGCTTCCACTATAAATTCGCCGTGCAACCGTGTGTTCTTGATCAGTTCTTCATCCAATCTCCTCTCGATCGATCCCCACTGCAACCTCTGCAGCAATGGCTATGGCGGGCTGCTACTGCGTGCGCGAGCACCAGCTTGAAGACGACGACGCCGTCGGCCACCGGCTCCTGCCGCCGGAGATCCTGGTGGAGATCGGCATTATTGCTGCTGCCGATCACACCGCCGCCGTCCACGCTCGCCGCGACGCCGTCGTCGAGGAGCTCGCCGCGCGCCTCGTCGGCATCCTCGGCCTCACGTCGCCGCCGTCCGCCGGCGCAGGCAGACTGGGAGAGAAACGTGCCGCGGCTGCGACGACGACGACGAGTAGTGGCGGCGCCACCCCGCCGTACGGCCGCTCACATGTGCGCCGCCGCGAGCAGCACCTCGCCGCCGGCGGCGGCGGCGGCGGCGTCATCGACGGAGGGATGGCGCGGTACCACGCGCCGGGGTTCGGGACGACACAGTGGCTGGCGCCGCCGGCGTGGTGCGGCGGCGGCGGCGGCGGCACCGGCGTGTTCTTGCCGCGTGGCGAGGTGTACCCGACGAGAACCTTGAACCCTCCCAGGAAACAGGTGCGAAACCGCCGCGTCTGCTGAGGAATTGAAGGAGGCTGCCAATGCCATGGAGACGTACGTTTAGAGAAATACACTCATGTTCATGTCCCAAATTAAATCATCACATAATAAATGTGTAATCATCCATTTGTAGACGAATATCACTTAAGAGCAGCATGTACAACGATCTTTATTAGTGGACCCTCTCTATTGCTATACGAGTAAATTTAGTGACATGCATGAAAGAAAGAGAGGGGAGGAAAAAAGACATGGTTGCTACGTACGCATGATAACAGCTCAGAATCAACTCTTAGCATCTATTAGAGAAAATTTTGTTACATGGGGGTGAAAGAAAGGAATGAAGAGTACGGAAAAAATATTTTGGTACATAAATAGTTAGATACCATATTGTTTTAATTGTTGTAATTAAATTGATAGTCTCTAAATTGTATAGATTTCATAATTGATTGTACCTTTGTACATGTCCGAATAGTAAAAATAATTCATGCTCTATCTCTATTTGTTTCTTTTCTAATTGTAGTACGTTATCAGCTATGTTTTATCTTCACAAAGTAAAATCTTGGTTCACATACTACTGTATTTGTGGACATCTTGGTTCACTTTGTGAAGACAAACTTTTCTAGTTGTAGTACGTGAACCAAGATGTCCACAAGAAAGAAATGCCTCATTCACATCACTATATTTTAGAAGCGGGCAACACCCCTACCACGGCAACACACACCCAACCACCAGCAAAAAAAATAAAATAAAATAAATAAATAAATAAATAAACACCAACTATAATAGGCAGTAAAAGAGATAAGTTTATCCAGCATTTCGAAATGAGCTAATGTTTGACAGCACGATACAATGTGTTTTAGGTCCAGTTTAGTTTGCTACTCTACAAAAATTTGTCGTAATTCCTAATATTTCATAAATATTAGCTCAATAATTTTAAGGAAAACAATATCAAATTGAATCCCTTGAAAAAAACTAGAGTCTGAACTCGAGATAATGCAAAGATAGTGAGAAAAAAAAATCGAATGCGTCTTGATTTGAATAAAGTTTGAAGAACTTGTTGTTCAAGGTTTAACTAAGAGTTGGTCCTGAAATGCCACCGTCAAGGAGCTCTGCTAATTGTGAACGATGACACACTGATGAGAGCGCAGGAGGGTGGAATGAGACTGTGGAGATTTATTCTCCAACCATTTGGTTGGCGATTGTGTGGGGGCAATTTTTTCATGGTAGCAAGTGGCGAGGGGAGACGCACCCAGGGCACCCATTCTCCGAAGAAGAGGAGCCACGAGCAAAGTTCCCTTCCACCATGATATAAATCGGACCTCTCCCGTATTCTACTTGGATCGAGTTCCAATTCAAGGCCTATGAGCTTATGGGTTGCACACTGTAGATTAACACCTATGTATGGGCTGTTGTGCGTAACTAAATAGGTTGTATACAACTGATGTTGGCTTGGATCTTGGTGTCCCATGGTTGGGCTATGGGGTTTCGCGCGCTCACCTAAATACACGAGGCACTATAGATGAAAAATGAAAACCTACCGGGTGTCTTGTGCATCCTGGTAGCCTAACATGGTGTGACAGCCCGACCCAATTTGGATTAGGCCCATATAGCCCATGTGAGCTGTGTGCGCATGTTTAGTACCACCTTGCTAGTTGAGCAAGGGTGGAACCGACTTATAAGACATCTTCCCTCCAAACATGCCACTCCTGGGTTAACCCTTTTACACAAAACGAGGACGAAAGCGTAAGTGGGGTAGTGCGTGTAAGTGGGCCCGCTTGTTGGATGGGTTGGCTACGCAGTTCTGGAGGGAGGGTTGTACAAGAGCCGAGCATGGCGCATGTGGCCTCTGTGTGAGGCCTAAGATGCCTTAGGAGGGGGTATGTTCCTAGACATTTGTCTGTGTGGCTGGGTTGGAGTTCTGGAGGGAGGGTTGTTCAAGAGCCGCAGGGTTGTACAAGAGCCGAGCATGGCGCATGTGGCCTCTGTGTGAGGCCTAAGATGCCTTAGGAGCTGTGTGGCTGGGTTGGAGTTCTGGAGGGAGGGTTGTACAAGAGCCACAGGGTTGTACAAGAGCCGAGCATGGCGCATGTGGCCTCTGTGTGAGGCCTAAGATGCCTTAGGAGGGGGTATGTTCCTGGACATTTGTCTGTGTGGCTGGGTTGGAGTTCTAGAGGGAGGGTTGTACAAAAGCCGCATGTGGCCTCTGTGTGAGGCCTAAGATGCCTTAGGAGGGGGTGTGAGGGAGGGTTGTACAAGAGCCGCATGTGACCTCTGTGTGATGTGAGGCCTAAGGTCCTCTGTGTGATGTGAGGCCTAAGATACCTTAGGACGGGGTGTGTTCCTGGACATTTGTCTGTGGGTTGGAGTTCTGGAGGGAGGAGGATTCGGCCTCTGTGTGAGGCCTAAGATGCCTTAGGATGGGGTGTGTTCCTGGACATTTGTCTGTGGGTTGGAGTTCTGGAGGGAGGATTGTACAAGAGCCGCATGTGGCCTCTGTGTGAGGCCTAAGATGCCTTAGGAGGGGGTGTGAGGGAGGGTTGTAGAAGAGCCGCATGTGGCCTCTGTGTGAGGCCTAAGATGCCTTAAGAGGGGGTGTGAGGGAGGGTTGTAGGGTTGTACAAGAGCCGCATGTGGCCTCTATGTGAGGCCTAAGATGCCTTAGGAGGGGGTGTGTTCCTGGATATTTGTCTGTGTGGCTGGTTTGGAGTTCTGGAGGGAGGGTTGTACAAGAGCCGAGCATGGCGCATGTGGCCTCACACAGGGAGGGTTGGCATGTGGCCTCACACAGGGAGGGTTGTACAAGATGTCTGTGTGGCTGGGTTGGAGCAGGGAGGGTTGTACAAGAGCCGAGCATGGCGCATGTGGCCTCACACAGGGAGGGTTGTACAAGATGTCTGTGTGGCTGGGTTGGAGTTCTGGAGGGAGGGTTGTATAAGAGCCAAGCATGGCGCATGTGGCCTCTGTGTGAGGCCTAAGATGCCTTAGGAGGGGATGTGTTCTTGGACATTTGTCTGTCTGTGTGGCTAGGGGGTGTGTTCCTGGACATTTGTCTGTGTGGCTGGGTTGGGTAAGTAAGATGCCAGGTTGGGTAAGTTGGGGTGTGTTCCTAGACATTTGTCTGTGTGGCTGTTCCTGGACATTTGTCTCTGTGGCTGGGTTGGGTAAGTTGGACCAACATAGAGGGGGTATGTTCCTGGACATTTGTCTGTGTGGCTGGGTTGGGTAAGTTGGGGTGTGTTCCTGGACATTTGTCTATATGGCTGGGTTGGGTAAGTTGGTTGGACCGACATAGAGGGGGTGTGTTCCTGGACATTTGTCTGTGTGGCTGGGTTGGGTAAGTAAGATGCGTCTGTGTGGCTGGGTTGGGTAAGTTGGGGTGTGTTCATGGACATTTGTCTGTGTGGCTGGGTTGGGTAAGTTGGACCGACGGGGATGTCGGGTCCTTTGAGGGGGGGGGGGGAGGGGTCAGGCTGCAATGGGGATTTTGGATTAGGCCTGTGTGGCCCATGTGAGCTGTGTGCGCATGTTTAGTACTCTGGATGATAGATCTATAGTTTAAATTGTCTATTCTTTCTTCTCTCATAACACCATACAATCTCAATTATTTTTACGCTCAAAATTCATAAGTATCAATTTATTTTAGTTTTAATAATTATATTGCATCTTATTTATACATATTATGTAACTTAATTTCCCGCAGCAACGCGGCGGGGTATTCATCTAGTATGACATATGAACTCCACTTTTTAGTTTTTCATGTGTTGACTAGGATGTTGCATAGCTAAAATCGACTTAGTTTTCATTGTGGGACATAAAGTAAATGGTTTGAAAAGTTGAGGGACGTATAATAACCGATTTGAAGAGTCGAGGGATGTACAATATCGTGTTTAGATGTTTAGGGATGAATTTTAATTTAGACTTTGTAAAATTTAGGGATGTAAAATAAACGTTTTCATTTGCAGGCAAAGAGATTTTAAGGATGCATGATAACACAGGACAAAAACCAGACACACTAAGAATAAGCACGGTCAGTGATGGCCTAAGTCAAGGGGGGAGAGATAGATAAAGCAGGAAACTGAAGTGAGGAACATATGAGGCAGCAAATTAATGTTACGATATATAGGCTGTGTTTATTTCCTTCCAAAGTTGGAAGTTTGGGTTAAAATTGATACGATGTGACTGAAAAGTTGTGTGTATATAACAGGTTGATATGATGAAAAAAAGTTGAAAGTTTGGATCTAAACACAGCGAACCTCTCCTCTTGCATTCACACTTCTTGGGCCATCGTTAAAAGGCAAATGGAATTATTTTTTTCTTGTTTTTCTTTTGCGAGGAATAGTCACAGATTTTTCATTGCATCAGCTAACTAATTTAACAATTAATAATGGTTGCATCCATGCAAATCGATCTATGTGAAAGTGCTAAAAGAAGAAAAAAATCTCACTGGGATAAAAAACAGAATAGACCAATAATTAGATCATTTCTAAAACAATGAAACAAGCAATCTGTATCAATAGCAAATAATGAATTAATAATGCAGGTTCCGGCAAAATAGTGATCACCGACGTCCACTGGCCACGGTGCCTCATTCTTTGTCGTCGCTCCGCCGCCGCTCACCGTGATGAGAAGCTCGCCGTGGACCATTCGCGAGTTTATGCATATGCTTTAACCATATGTCACTGATACTGTCTGGTGCGTGTTGTTTAAAAAATAATTTCTCTATTTCATATTATAAGACTTTCTTTATTCTATATGAATATGGACAATACTAGAAAGTCTTATAATCTGAAACGGAGGTAGTATATCACTGCAGCTATATATATTGAATAATCAATTTACAAAACTTTAACCGTTAAACAGATATAATGTTATGACTTTAATAATTAGATTAATACAAAATATTTGTTCTTTCTCAACGACAAATTTAAAGTCAAAACCGACGATTATCCTTTTGCAGATAGAGTATTTATAGATTTCATTTGTTAATGTTTCACCAGCAACTATTGAATTGATGTCTTCCATGAACAGTACTTTATTTTCCAAATCAGCTTTTAGTTTCAAAATTATTTTTAGATTTTCTTTTTTCTTTTTTTGGGGGGGGGAGCTCCTTTCTTTCTTTCTTTCTAAATTTCAGTAGAAGTGTTGTGGCACGCACAGTAGAATGACAGACAAAATGCATGAACTGCCTCATGTAGTCACGTCCATTTGGTTCACTGCTGACTGGACGTACGTGTCCAGCTCTCCAATTAAGGAGTATTTGAGACCAAATAATATTTTAATTTGGTGAAATTTAATGCACAAAATTAAAAGAGCTAGTATGTGCCAAACGAGGCAGCTGCTGCTACGGACAAAATTGGAAGCAATTAAATTCAGTTAATAGTTAACCTTTGACCCAAAAAAAAAACAAAAAGCTGCGGGCAAGGCCAGTTCATATACATCTGATCTACAGCTATAAATACACCTGTTCTTCTTCACTTGATCGATCGTCTCCTCCTCCTCCTCTCTGCTCAAGCAAACACATTCGTCATCGTCATCCAGCCAGCATCAAGCTAGATCGCCGGAATCCATGGCCGATAGCTCGTCGCCGCCGCTGCCGCCGCCGTCCTTCCTTGGCTATCTCAACCACTACTCCGGCGGCTTCCCGGCGCCGGTAATGCATCTCTCAGTGGTTCGGGTGATCGATCAATTAGGTGTGTTTAGCTATGGATTATTATTTATGGTTGTTCAGGCATACGGAATGGGAGGTCGCGGCGAGCTTGTGATGACGGTGAGCGGCGGCGGGTCGCCGGAGAACGCCGTGGTGTGGACGACGGTCGCCGAGCCGGGGCACTGGTTCTACGTGCCACCGTCGGGACAGGTAGAAATCGTCGCATTATTAATTCATTAATTATCAATTGATTATTTGTTTTATAGTTGTAGAAATGATTTGGTGTGTGTATATTGTTCTATCTTTTTCTCCCCAAAAAGGTTTTTTTTTGTTACCACATTCACATGATTGATATGCATACATGCATGCACTGACCGTTGTTGTAACGTTAATTAGTACTCCCTCCGTTTCATATTACAAGTCGCTAGGACTTCTTTTCTAGTCAAATTTTTTAAAATTTAATTAAGTTTATCGGAAAATTTAGTAATATTTTTAATATAAAATAAATTGTCGGACCCAAGGTCACAGACAGGATTGGGGATAGACGGGAGAACACCCTTTTCCCGCCTATCCTTGGAAATGAGCCCGAACACAAAATACACATCCTTTTACCAATAAGATTTCTATATTCTGATATATCCCCTTTTGCTATAGGCTTTTTGGCTATTTTATATAATTCATAGCTATACATATGATATTACAATTGTGCCCCCACTCAGCCCATGTAAGATTATAATTGTGCCCCTGCCATGTCAGCAATCCTGAGAGCATTTTGGTATATTTCGGGAGTCATTATAGTCTTTCGGTGCCAGCTAGTTGGAGTGGTTGAGTGGTCCCTGGGAATCTTCTCAGATAGCTCACCTGTCATTAACTCAGATAACACTTAAAACATATGATTTGGCTTAGTAACAAGAACTTGCTCGAATAGTGTTTTCCAACTCGAATAGAATAGTATTTTACTGTTTTCATGGTCGAATGGCACTTTTCCACTTGGACACTTAGAATAAAAAACTCAACCTCTTTCTCCTTAGTGTTTTGACCGGATAAGGAGGGATGGTGGTGACCCCTGCTACAAAATAAACATATTATCACAATATATTTAACGTTTTATTTAATGAAATTAATTTGATATTGTAAATATTACTAATTTTTCTATAAATTTAACTAAATTTAAAGAAGTTTGACTAATAAAAAAGTTAAAATGACTTATAATAAAACAAAGAAAGTATTATATTTAGCTGACGTGCAGTGAAACCTGTAATCTGATTTACCTTTTAATTGTGACCCAAGATAGTAGTACTGTAAATCTAGTGTGAAACTGTGAATTAATTAATACATCAAGAAAAGAAAGAAAAGAAGTTCCATGGCAAGGGTCAATTATATAGCTACTGCTTGCAGTGCAAATCGACGAGTAACTCGGTCACAGTTCAATTAGTATCTTTTACGTTAGTTGCTTTTCAAAGATGAGCTAATTAAGCTATTACTAGCCAAGATATATAAGAGTAAGATTCAATAACTAGGTTGAGTGTGAATAAATATCCAAGATTAGAAGTGAAATGAAAATGAAGAGAACCAGAAAACATGCTTAATTAGTGTGATTAAGCTAGGTTGAGCTATTAATTAATTCACGACCAATCTCTACCTTAATTACTGTATTATTTTCAGGCTTTTATTTCCATTTTACTTGTAATCTTAGATACATTAATTGGCACGCTCAACTTGGTAATACCATCTTTTTTATATGTATGTATATTGTACTAATTTCTCTTTCTATATAGTATGGCGGCGCTATCATGATCAATTCTGCGGCGGTGACTGGTGACGCCACCGGCATCACCGGTACTGGCATTGGCACCGGCGTGTTCATACCGGAGCGGCCTCGCATCCGCAGGATGAAGCATCCAATCAATTGGGTCCCCTTGGTGCCCGATAGAGGTATATATATATATATATATGCACTTCCTACTTAGGCCGTGTTATTTTGGAGGGGTTGGAACTCTCATATCTACACGGAAAACGGAGCGATAAGATTCATACGTGATTAATTAAGTATTAGCTATAAAAAAACTTAAAAATAGATTAATATGATTTTTTAAAAACAACTTTTCTATATAAAATTTTTGCAAAACACATACCGTTTAGTAGTTTGAAAAGCGTGTACGTGGAAAATTAGGGATATGAGTTGGGAACTGGTAGGAAAGAACACATCCTAAGTATTGGTGCGTGTGATTCCAGCGTTGAGGTTCCGTGCATGATTCTCAATATGCTCATATTTTTCAATCTCAACATGCTGACCCTTTCTTCTTACTTATTCGACACTAAGTTTTTCGTTAGTTGTCTAGTGTTTTTTTAGAGAGGCATATATATATGGTCATTTTTCACCAAAGATAGATGATATATATAGCTCTACGGATTTAGGATGGTTTCAATGTTTTTAATGCATGAATTCGTTTGAATTACTGGAGATTAGGCTTACTATTCCGTCCCAGAAAAAAGCAAATCCTAACTACGAACCTGGACACATATATGTCCAGGTTCATAGCTAGGATTAGATTCTTTTTGGGACAGACGGGGTAGATCAATGTAGGATATATAGGCTCTTTTTTTTAATAATGGGAATCCCGACATTTGCTAAATTAAGGATATATGTTTGTGACACTATTTTTGTTAAGAATACTATATTGTAGTGCATTGTTGTGAAAATGTGACATGTTATCAAAGTGAATACTACTCCTTCCGTTTTAAATTATAAGTCATTTTGACTTTGGTCAAAATCAAATTGCTAAAATTTAACTTTGGTCGAAGTCAAAAACGACTTATAATCTGAAACAGAGAGAATAATGTACTGCATTATTGTTTACACGCACATGCCATGGAACTACCACCAACTGCAGGTGGCAATGGCAGGAAGCCTGAACTGAAGACTGCAAATGCAAGCAAGGGCAAAGGGATACAAATGAGCTATGCTGCTGCTGTGAAGACTGCAGGTCCAAGCCATGAAGCTGTGAGGGCAAATCAAAGCAAGAAGGGACACAAGTTTTCACGGCAGAAGAAGAGTGCGGCAACGGCGGCGGTGGAAGCGCCGGCACCGGAGAAGGAGGAGGCAACGGCTACTACGGTGGAGGACATCCCGGAGCTGGCGCTGCTGCCGGAAGAATGGGTCTACTGATCGACCAAATAATCTCTCCCAATGATCACTAGATGATGGTGAATAAGAGCTAGAGCCATTGTTTGATGCATTTGATTTCTGTCATTGGTGTACTTGTTTTGCTAGACAAGTAAACATGAATAAATGGTGATGGATAATAAGCATCCAGAATATATGGATCAAAATTCAAAATATATGCGTGTTGTCTTTTGGAACATCAAAGTGTCTACAAATTTCTTTCATGTGCCCTTAATCATATAGTATATATGGAACTAAAAAGTGTGATCAACGCACCTTCCCATAGAAAAGTGTGATCAACATTATCCTGATTGATCAACACTCTCTATACAAACGTTGACCAACACTATAAAAAACATTGCATGTATATATTATTCCGAACTAACAATTTCATTCCTGTATGTTTTTAACAAAATAATCACATATTCACACGTTCGACAGATAAAAGACTTGAGAGGAAAATGAAAAAGGGGTACTCACTAGACTACATAATTGATATATATGTACAAAGCTAGAAGACAATGATGTCTCCTGTGGTCGGAAAAATTCGACACATTAGAGTGGATATAAAACCGCACATGTGGAGTTAACAATAAGATCACAAAGTCAATAGAGATAAAAAAAGATTAACAAGAAAACAAAGACAATAAAAGAGCATAAACAACAATACTAGAAAGGACGGCTCACCAGAAAGGGAGGGATCGTCGGTACACACAATTACTAGCATCACTTAAATGTATTGCGAACAGTCATGAACCCAAGTTGCAATATTGCACAAGCAAGAGAAGTCAACCATATAAGTAGAGAGAACAGAGCCGAAGAAGAAGCGAAGGTGATGGAAAAGGAATGGAGGAGAGGTGGCAAAACAAAAACATGATATTAATCATGGATAAATACAAATCTAACTCATATGAGGTTAACAGTACTATAGACATGTTGGAGTCAATCTAATCTTGTATTACGGATTTACTTCAATCCAACTAGAAGATCTCAAATCCAATTGAGGATAAGGAGAGAAAGAAGAAAAAGAAGAGAAGCCTCGATAAAAAAAAGACAAAAGCATCAGAGAAACATAAATCTAGACAAAAGAAAAGACTCACCAAAAAAGAAGGATCATGGGTATATAATCAGTAGCACCAGCCACCAGCAACTCCTTGCCGATAGTCATTGATTTTTGTTGTTGCACTATATAATACTACATGACCAAGAGAAATTGACCAACTCAACGTGGGGAGAACAAACATGAAGAAGTTGAAGAAATGGGACACACGAGGAAAAGTTCATGAATGGGACGAGAAGATTTTAGGGACTTGGCAACACCAAGAGGATGGAGAGATATGTTGGAAGCATTAGAATTTTCCATACGGCTCGAAACATGTTTTTGCGTGCGGTAGGGAGGCCCGTCTGCCCGGAAGGGTCTGCGAAAATCGCTATTTTTTCACGCGGGTGGCGCACCTGCACGCGAAAATCGCATTTTCATGTGCGGGAGCTTATGTCGACCGCTCGCAAAAAGAAAAAAAAATCAAAAATCCCGAAACCCAGTCGGTGGATCCGCCCCGGTTGGATCCACCCCGGCCGGATCCACTAAAGCTACTTGTCGCCGGTGGATCTGCCCCGGCCGGATCCACGGCTGCCCGATTCGTCGCTCCGCGACCTCCGCTCACCAGGATTGAAGAAGCCGAGAGAGAGGGGGAGGACAGGCAGCGGGATCTATGTGGGCGGAGGACGAGCCCACCATGGCTCGAACTCGCTGCAGCCGCCACCATCGCTCCCTCCATCGTCATCGCTCGCGGCTGGTGGATCTGCCGCTCCACGACCTCTAGCTGCCGAAGTCGAAGAAGCTGGGAGAGAGGGAGCAGAGGTGGCGGGATCCGCGCGATCAGAGGTTGAGCACGGCGCCGGTGGATCCACCTTGGCCGAATCTGTGGCCAACAGATCCATCGCTCCGCGATCTCTAGCTGCCGGGATCAAAGCCGAGGGAGCGAGGGAGGAGAGGCGCCGGGATCTGCGTGGTCAAAGGTTGAGCATGCCGCAGCTCGAACTCGCCACAGCCACAACCATCGCTCCCGTAGTCGCCGTCGCTCGCCATTGGTCGATCAGCCCCGGCCGGATCTGCGGCCGACAAATCTGCCGCTCTGCGACACCAACCGTTGGGATCGAAGAAGCCGAGGGAGGAGAGGCGGCAGAATCCACATGATCAGAGCCGAGCCCGTCATCGCCTGAGTTCGCTGCAGCCACTGCCGTCGCCGGATTCGCAAGCTCTGACCGTCGAACCCGCCGCCGCTCCCTGAGCCCGCTGCTCCGTCGATGTGAGATGAGGGAGAGGATAAGGAGAGAGAATGAAGGAGGAGTGGATAAGAACGAAGGAGAGTTAGATATTTTAAGGTGGAGGGAGATCGGTTGAACTTTTCGTAGGCGAGCCACTTAACAGACCCGCATGTGAAAATAACCTATTTTTGCATGCGGGCCGTTTAAGAGGCCCACCTATGAAAATAGATTTTTGCGTGCGGGTCCCTTAAGCAGCCGTATACGAAATTGGGGGGTCCATTTTTGCAGATGCGGACACTTATGGTCCGCCAGTAACCTATTAGGGTGCTTATCCAAAAAAAATATTTATGTAGTAATGAAGGGAGATTGTGGCATGTGGAATGGTTTAATTTATATGGCTCAAGTGAATTAGGATTTTATAGAACCGACCTCAGCCATGCGTCTGAAATCAAATGCTCTACATGTTTCAATGTGATTGAAAAAATATAGCTATTTATAAACCAACATCCGCTAAGAGCATCGCCAACCGAAACTGTATATCATTCCCTATCCAAAAATATGAGGATTTTTGGTTTAAAATTTTCTCCAACAGATTCTCTAATCTCATTTCCAAAATTCTCTATTCCCTACTTCGGGATTATCGTTCTCTTTTCTAGGGACACACTTTGGCCCCCAATCCCGCCACTTCACGCACGGGAAGAGATCGCAGCGATCTGGTGAGAGGAAGGAGCCCAAAATAGATTTTTTTTTCCGGTGGAGATTTTATCATGGTGCACCTTTTTAATTTTTAGGAAATCAATTTTACCTAATCTCTTGGAGAGAGGAAAATTTTAACACCTTAATTATTTTTAAGAATCGTATAATCAGAAATTTGGGAATAAAATTTTAGGAAGTTGTTGGTGATGCTCTAAAAATCTAGTTGTTATCTAAATTTTAACCTTGCGAGAAAAATGGAGGCCGTAATATCGAAGGCCAAGGATTTCAAAACTATTAGATATGTATATAAAGAGTTTGGAGCCCTATCAAACATATCATTTTCTTCTACAAATTACGAGTCTATCTCAATAACAGAATGCATTGGACGATAAATAACCTATTTAGAAGGTAATGACCCCGGATCTCTGACTCATCAAGGCCTATAAGTCACCCAACATCAACATGAATAAATAATAAGGCCCTGTTTAGTTCCCAAAACAAAAATTTTCACACTGCCATATTGAATGTTTAGATACATGCATGAAGTATTAAATGTAGGGAAAAAATACACAAATTGCGTGTAAATTGCGAGACGATCTTTTAAGCCTAATTGCACCATGATTTGACAATGTGGTGCTACAGTAAACATTTGCTAATAACAGATTAATCAGGCTTAATAAATTCGTCTCGCAGTTTCCTGGCGGAATCTATAATTTATTTTGTTATTAGATTACGCTTAATACTTTAAATGTATGTCTGTATATTCGATATAACAACCAAACCCAAAAATTTTCCTCAGCTAAACAAGTCCTAAGGTAGTATGTGTTTACATCACAAACGTCCATATACAGAAAAACACAGTTTACTCGAACTGTAGAGGATCATTGAAAAGAAACTTAAATTGCTAATTAACACACGTGCACAAATTAACAAATTGCCCAAAACAAATAGTGTCGTACACATATTCGGCTCAACTTTAATCGACAACTAAAGTAGCAACATTAATTGCACAAGCAACGAATTATGTATGTATATAGACAGCATCTGATACTCCAAAACAACGAAGATCATATGTCATTACAAAAGAGACGAAAAAGAAAGAGCCCTGCAGTGACAATGTTCTAGTCGATGGAACACGAAGAAAAGAATCACTTCTAGGACAGTACAGCAATTAGGCAGTAGGCGTAGTAGTAGTAGAAGATGACTAATTAACGATTAGGAGCTTGATTAATTCCGATCATATCGTGCGCTAAAATTCGTGCGCGTTGTCACGTCAGGAATGTGGCGATGGGCAGCAACGCCGCTAGGATCAGCGCCGTGTAAACGCTCGCCGCGCCGCCGCCGCCGCAGCGCCTGCCGCTGCCGGAGAGGTAGAAGTAGTAGTACGGGTTGGACGACGACGGCGGAGACGGCGGCGATGAGAAGTGGGACGAGGACGACGGCGGCGACGCCGTCGACCCGCTGCTGCTCTTCGTCGTCGGCGGCGGTGGTGACGACGGTGGAGGCGGCGGTGATGGCGGCGGGTTCGTCGTCGTCGGCGCCTCCGGAGGCGGGAACATGTCGCTCTCGTCCGCCGGAGATGGCGGCGGGAGCAGCAGCGTCAGGTACGGCGGCGGAGGCGCCGAGTACAGCGGCAGCACGGACGGCGTCGACGGCGACAACGACGACGGCGGCGCGGGCGGAGGCGGCGGCGGCGGCGACGTGCATATCGTCGGGCACGTCCCGCACTCGCTGACGCACAGCAGGCTCGCGTCCGGCCCCTCGCCGGCGCCGGAGCACGCCGCCGACAGCAAGACGATCACGGACACGGCCAGCATCACGGCCGGCCCCACCACTGCTCCTCCTCCCACCATTGCTGATGCTGCTTAGCTAGCAGGCAGAATTCAGAATTCGCATGTATCACCTGCAGCTGCGTGTGTGATTTGCTTGTGCAGGTGAGATTCCGGCGAGCTTGTGGACCTCCAGGTATATAAGGTCGCACACAGTGATGCAAAAGATGTGCCAAACTTGAGTTGCAAGCTCCAACAGAATATGAGCAGCAGGGTGTAAAGGGAAGATGCCCGGCCCTTCATTGGCAGCAAGGAATTGAGGATTCTTCTACTATAGATGAGTTAATTAATTAATTAGTCTCAAGAAACCAGGATTAGGAGTTCTGGGTCACATATATGACTACTACTACTAACAACGTAGTAATGGTTTACTATTTGCGAGGTTGTACCTGCAACAGAATTAGTGTGGGCAAATGCTACAAAATGTGCCGCTTCAAACCTGTACATGTTAAGGAAACAAGAGAAATATGGATACCTGCATTGAAAATTTCTTTACCCCCTGAACACTTTTATCAATTTGAGGTCTTTACAAGGTATGGCATGGAAGCCAATAAACAACCGACAAAAGAAGAGAGCACTTGTACAAAAGGCTAACTACGGAAGGAAAACTGTTGCCAGCCTTTAACTTACACGGGTTACTTCGAATGCCCTTCGCTGAGAAGGGAAGTATCAAAAGTACAGTATGAGTTAACGGTGTCACTAGTCAGTTTCTGCCTCTGTTGTTATAGCTGACTTCAGTTTTTGGCTCACAAACTGGCCCTTAACCCTGGGTCTTTGTTCTGCAAGCTTCTTCCTGCTATGATACCTGACCTGTACAAACGAGAGATGCACAAATACTGAGATACAGATTCAGAAGAATGATCGAAGATCTAAAGGATAGTAGGCATATTTGTGCAGAGTATATGATAAATGCTCAGCCTTATATGCAAAAAACTAAATATAGGTTTGTCAAACAAAGTACCTTTTTCTCGAAACATCTATCTTTTCTTTTCATCCGGAATTTCAACAAGGCAGCTTCACGGCGAGACCGGTCACCATCCAATACATTATTACTGCAGTTCTGGACACCGCTCTCATTGCCACTTTCTAGTGCAATTACCGTATTTGTATTTGCATCAGTTTCACCGCTCCCAGTGCATCCACTTCCTTTGCGAATATCCTGGCTACAGCTAGCACTCTGGTTAATACGCTCCATATGAGCCTTCGCCAAGTCAACTGGTTCTCCTGATTCTCGGAGAATTTGTCTTGAATGATGCAACTGATGGTTTTCTTCTGGCTGCTTGTGCTCATCAATCTGTGGCGGTTTACCAAGATTTTCATGGTAGTTAGATTGACAAGAGACATGCTGAATTGCTGTCTTGTTGATGGCAGCTGAATCACAATGCATAAAAGCACCCTGTGGATAATACATTGGCTGCATAATTGCACCGTAGTGGTAGGGTATAGCAGCACCAACAGGAATTGGAACAGGTATAAACCCATAAGAAGGATGAGTTAAACTGTCCTTTCTAGGAGAGGAACTGCTTGTACCAGCATCTTCTCTTACACTACTGGAACACAGGATTGCAGCACCCTCTGTGCTTCTGTCCAAAGGGACCTGAGCTTGCACTGTACTCTCGCGTGTATTATGTTCACAGGAAAGCAAGACCCGGCTGGATTGGGGATTCTTGTCGTAAACAGGTTGTTGGTGAACCACGCGGAAGGAAGGGGGAAATGGCCGTTGAGCTGATGATTCTATCCTCTTATTACCATACCTGTGACAGGTTGCCAACCATGTGATGAACAAGCAAATAAAGCTAGCAAGAGTTATAAAATCATATGCACGCAAGCAATTACTTATATCTACCCCAAGAGGGAATGGACTAGAACTAGCAAAATAGTATAACAGCATAAAGAAACAAATGGGCATGCAAAACAAACCCCACTCAGAAACCAACATTATTTAAACCAGAATTTATTTGGATGAAATTTCAAACTTTAAAAACTAGTACCTCGAAAAGGCAGAGGAATTTGAGTGATTAAAGATATCTTTCTCATTCAACTTGTGGTTTGTATAACCATTGAGATGATGTTGCTTTTCTAAATTTATCTCCACAAAGTGAGACGGACAAGATTCAGCATGGCCTGTTGCAGTCCCCTTTGAATTTTCACTAAGGTTATTTTCCATGACAGCATTATTTTCCAGTGCTGAAGATTTGCATTTTCTGTCAGCTGTGGTCTGGGCAACAACCAAAAGATCTTTTCCAGGATCACTTGAACGAAGTGAACTTGAATCAGCAAACCTCAAGGCATTATCCATTATCTGTCCAGCAACCTTCGCAGAAGTAATACCATTAAGGAATTTGGAACGCACATTCTTCTCAGTTGAAAGCACTTGTAGTTCACTATCACCACACGCGTTTCCACTTGGAGCATCTACAAAAGGTTAAATAGCAATAACTATCACATGTCCTCATATGCAAAGTTGACACTCAATAGCCAATAGAGGCACATGAAAATCAAAGATCAGATAACCATGTCTAAATTCCTTACCATCATTACCCTTTAATGCATGTGATTTTGTGTTCATTCCATCAATGAAACCATTCTGTATTTTATGTTCTCTGGATGAGCCTGCCCCACCATCTGCAACAACCTCTGGTAACTTTTCAGCACTTTGAATTTCAACCTCCCTTTTGCTACCAGAACTCTGATCAAGGTAAAAGAGCCACCATTATGTTAGGTGCAGAAGAATTCCAATAATGAATTTAAAATAGACATCAGAACTTCATAGAAGATCAGTTATGATGAACTCTAACTTGCTTTAGTAAACAATACTGGTCAAATTTACAGGATAAAGTCCTGATAAAAAAATGATAGAAAATCGAGCTTAATCAAATAACTTTAGCAGTTCACAGCTTTCAAACTTCTTTTTTCTGTTTGGCTTCAATGAACTTAGGAATGAAGAATTTTGACGTGTGCTGACAACATAAGACAGACTAGGTATAAACTAGCACACATGCTCACCTGAGCATCACTTTCCTCATCGCTGTGTTCTCCTGTCTTTGACCCATTACCACCATTGGCACTTAAATGATTGCTAGCCGCATTGTTTTCCGATGCATTTGTTTGGCTATTCATCTGCATTGGAATTTCCAGTGGGCTCAGAGAAGTGCTCACAAGTATTGATATTTACTAAAAGCATATATTATAACATAACTATGTAGCATTCACAATCTTGACAACCAAAATTACTGCACATCACATTAGGGTACAGCTATACAATTGGAATAAAAAAATGAATCTAGATTTAGATTGACCAATATAAACCACACAATACAACCAAGGAAGATTATATTTCCACATGGATCAAAGGACTGACTGAAAAAGGAAGTCTTAAAAGACGAGCAGAGAGAGGAGCTTACTGCATGTCGCCTCCATACATGTTGCCATAAGTTACGCAATTCATTCTTTCTCACTGGTTTCACAAGGAAATCCACCGCACCCTTCTGCATGCACCTGAGCACTGTGCCAATAGAATCTTGGGACGACATCACTGCAATAGACAACCCAGTGAAACATCATGAAGATTAGGCTTAGTGATTGCATTGCTCACATGGTGCATACATGTCTCTCTCCTTGAAGCATGCACTGAGGATAACATATTTTAGTGCCTATAAATATACAAATTTAATTTATATGTCTCATTGCCTGAATCCAGTATTTAGCACATAGATTACAGTCAAATAGGCACTTGTTTATAAGCGCTTTGCAAGGATGTCCTTGTTCTCCTTATTCTTAACCACTATTAAGAACATCAAAACTCAATAATTTCCTAATATAATTTCCAAAAGTAGCAGCAATTGATATTTGGAAGAATTCAAGTCTTGTGTGTGTGATTGTTTGGTTCATACTCATACACAGTTAAATACACCATACACCCATGGAATAGCGTATTTCCTCAATGGAGTTATGTAATCAGAAGTTTATATATAGAACCTTAAATATAAGCCCGTGTTAATATGAAATTTCAGATTCAACCCCATGTTCAATCCTATTTTTTAGGCCACGTTTGAGTGGGCCTCAATCCCACACATCCACGTGACGTGTACGGACAAGGATTTTGAACTAAAATCCAGGTCCACAGATGTGGACGGGCTGGGATTCAGGGCTATCCAGAAAAGGCCTGACTGTCAAATTCCATACAAAAGACACATGGTTACCGTTGAAATTTTGCGAATAAACTACCTCCAATCCCATAATTAACATCCTGTAATAAATCCATCCAGTGATACTTATACAGGACTAATCTTGTAAGAAACAATATTCAGCAACATCTCAAGCAATAGCAGAAATGGAATTCAGCAAGAGCGATTCAATTTTGATAAAGCTATTATTACAAAATTACATCACAAGCATTTATTCATTTGAGAACATCACAAGTTATCCAGTTGCAATAGCTCGGGTGTGCAGTCATCCAGCGATAAAATTGCCCGCCAAAATGAAGCACTTGGCATCAAAAACTAACACAGAGTTCGTTGCTTAAAGTAAGCTGTGGATAGTGAGGTGTACTCTACTCCGCTTGGCAGCTTCGGTTTGGGCCACACGCCACAAGAATTTCAGCTAAAATCAACTAGTACGGAGAAGAAGTTGGGGAGAACATCGAAGGGAAGCTTACTTATGACGGGGATGTTCTTGCACTCGTCGGAGGCGACGATCCTGGAGAGCAGCTCGATGCCGGAGAGCGTGGGCATAGTGACCTCCGTGAGCACGAGGTCGAAGGCGTACGCCCGCTCCCGCATCACCCCCCACGCCTTCATCCCGTCCGCCACCGCCGCCACTGCTCACCTCCGATCAAAACGAGCACACAGGGCAAACAGGGAACCAATCCCCCCCAATTCCCTCCTCAGAAAACTCTCAATAGCAATCAATCGCGAGGAGAGGAGAGCGATTAGGGTTTAGGTAGGGAGAGAGCGAGGGGTACTCACCGCGGTAGCCGCACTTGCGGAGGAGCGCGGTGACGACCTGGCGGGTGGAGTCGTCGTGCTCGACGAGCAGCACGCGGAGGGACCGCCGCGGCAGGATCTGGTCCCACCGGATCACCCCCCGCCCTTCACCCGCCGTCCCCACCCCCGCCGCCGCCGCGCCCTCGCCGCCGGCCGCCGCCGCCGCCGCCGCGTCGGCGTCGGGAGACATTTTGGAAGAGGAGAGAGAGGAGGAGGAGGAGGAGAGAGAGGAGAAGGGGGAGGTGGGAAAATATCTGCAAATTTTTTTTTACGCGGTGGGTGCCACGTCAGCAGCGAATCAAATCGGAGGGCGTGGAAACC